GTACTTTTTTTGAAAATTTCAGTAGTTTTCGCGCAATATTCAGAGCCATATGTGTATTTTTTTTACAAAAAACATCTCAATAACTGGTCCTACTTTTTTATTTAAACTTTTGGTAGGGAACGTGCTAAATGCAATTCATAAGATGATATTGCTCTATTCTTTAGTTTTTTCAAAAATTACAAAACTGTAATTATTTTTACTTGTCTCACGTTGTTAATATTTATATTACCGGCAATTTGTTCACATTATGTTTATGAGTCATATAGTACATTATATTATGATTTATATTTATGACGTTATTAAATAACGTCAGATTTATGTCATCTTACAGAGTCATTTAGCACTACCTCAACCAAAACGTTAAAGCCGCTTTGTTTTTGTAACTCTTTAAAAATATTGCAAATATTTCCTGCAATATTGCACCAAAACTATTAAAATTTGCAAGAAAGTGTACATGACCTTAATGAAAAAACTAATTAAGGAGAGGAAATTTCACCTAAACAAAAATTATCAACATTCAAGTTCGTAGCTTTAGGAAAACGCCGCTTGAAACTGCTTGAAAATACTTTTGCTGATTTATGAAGTGGTACAATATTGCGGAGCATTTAGAAACAATGTAAGAAAGTACGTGCTTTAGTAATACCACTAGTTTTCTTAAAGAAATGTGTTCTTAAAAATCAGATCTTCGAATAAGTTCATGATGATTTTTTTTGAAAATAGGAGTATATTCTGTGTAATTGGCCTACAAAGTCGCCCTCGTGAACTTTTACTGCGCTTCGTAAACGTAGTTTTAGAGGTGTTTTGAGGCAACTGGATTCTTCGTAAGTTAGAATGCCTTATATTATTTTATATTTTATTGTGTTTATTTCTTACATTAGAGCTTTTGTTATACGTTTACAAATGAATATTTTAGAAATTCTTTAATACCTATTTGAAATACACGATGGTTCAAAAATAAGAGGCACGCCTTAAGGCAATAAAAATAGTTCATTTCATGTGTTCGGAAATGCTCCATTTCCAAATTGTGGGCTTCACAACACTGAAATTTACTGGAACGCTTTATATTTCATTGTTTATTTCTTATATTAGAGTTTTTGGTATACGTTTACAAATGTATAGGTCGTTGACGTGAAAGGAGACATTAACACTCTGGCAGATCATTCCGAGGCAAATGTTATATTCAGTGTTGTAATCGGCGTTCGACTGTGCGTCATATTCTCTAATTAGGAGCTGACAGACATGCATTCTTGTATGATAAGGCGGACGGTTCGTCGTTTGTACCAGGAGAGGTACCAACAGCGACAATGTCCAGATCGGAAGACTGTCTCCATCGCCGTCTGCGAGCATGGAAGATTTAACTCTCCTGGTTTGGGGAGGAGATTAAAATCTCACCAGGTGTAGAAAAGGAGATTTTTTTTATTTAATTTGTTGCGTCTGTATGGACGCAACGCATCTCCTAACTCCTTAAGGAGCGTTGAGCGCACCATGGATGGAGTAAATATCCCGTTAATTTAATTTGGATTAATCCTCCGTTAAGAACCCAATACCATCTAGGGGTAGTCATGTTAGTCGCAGTTACGTTAGGGAACGCCGATAGGTAGCATCTTCGCACTCGCGTCTCGCACGCGCGCTACGTCATCTACCCATCGGCCAGAATTGGAAAAAATAAGGATAGGGGCAAGATTTAGGACGGTTCACAGGGGTTGGACTAGCCCCTGTGAAGCAGGCAAACTCGGTTTATTTGGCGTAACAAATTCCACACGAGGTTCAACGGGCTTTCTATGGGAATCGAATCCAGAACCTCCGTGGTGAAAGGCAAGCGACTTTGCCAGAGCCATGAGAACTATAGACACGATTACTTCTATCAGCACACGAAGGTCAGCGTTGCAAGTGAATGTTGTTCAAAAGACTGTCTTGAGACTTGCAAAAGTTTCAATCTCGTCAACACTCTCACTTCTTGGTGCTCATACCCACTTCAGTCGTACGGCTCGACGGTGCTTGGATCGAAGATTTCCTAATTGATGGAGAGGTAGAGATGGTCCAATTGCTTGGCCTCCAAGCTCACCTTATCTGAACTCTTTGATTTCTACTTGCGGAACGATTTCAAATCATTGGTGTATTTTACTCAGGTGCCCGATTTGGAATCCCTTCGGAATCGAATTGTGACAGCTTGCGAGGACATACGCAATACTCCTGGAGTTTGGGATTGTGTTCGCAGTTTAATGAGACATTGAATGAGATCTGTATTCAATCAAAATGTGGACACTTTGAATATCTACTATAATGACAACGATCTGTTGTGAAGGCCATAACTAGGAAATGAAGCATTTCTGAAGACATGTAATGCACTATTTTGATTGTCTACATATGGGGAATACATACCTGAGATTATGTTTCCTATTTTTGAAACATTCTGTGTATGAAATAAAAATTGCTAGCCATTGCAGAATATCAGAATGGAATGCAACAATGACATTCCACGTCGCGTCTCGCGAATTTCTGTGAATTAGTCTCGTTACATTATTTAGTTGAATGAAAAGGAGTTACAATTGTCAAATTTGTGTTGAAGTTTCCCACCAAATGTTCTACCATTTGAAATAAGTTTTACAAAAAATGACGACTCAGATGTGTTAATTCGGAGATAAATTGTGGTAAATTATATTACATTGCTATAGTATTACAAGGCGAGAAAATACGTGCTGTTTTTGCACCACTCAAACAAAATCTGTTTTTAAACAATTAGATCTTTAAAAAATATTGTTATATCCCAAAAAAAAGAACAATGATTTCTAAAAACTTTTTTTATTATTTCCATAAGCCAATAAGAGATACACTAATATAAAGCCAGGTCGAACAATACTCCAGGAGATGTACCGGGGACGTTGCAATGTTCACTGATTAACCGCAAGAAAAGTCCGAGTTCGTAACCTGTTCTGCAACACGCTTCACTAGACACTATAACACACTCCAGGCCGGCACTTCACACACTCTGCCGGCCACTCGCCGGGCACCGCTCTTATAGCCCGCTAGGGCTGAAGGTCCGCCGGCCAGCTGCCCGATAAGGGTGAGTTCTGTGGTTCCGGGGCCTGGCCGAGCGTGACGGAGCTACGGCGTTGGTAATCGGTGCCCTCTCTTGAGCGGCCCCGGAACCACTTTCCGGCGGCAACTTCATTGGTGCGCGTTCGACCATATCAAATATCATGTTCATGATCAAAAAACAAATATTTCCCCCTTAATTTGTGCTTTAAATTTATGCAATTCAGAATGCTCCGGCCGGCAACGACTATATAAGATAATCAGAGTCTGGCACACTTGTTAGATTATTTACTGCTGCTACAAGCCTCTCACACCTTTAAGTGAGTTTGAAGGTGGTGTCATAGTGCAAGAGAGATGGGGCGTAGCACCTCCGATTTCGCGATGAAATTTGAATTTTCCCGTACGACCATTTCGCGAGTGTAGCGTGAATATCGGGAATCCGGTATTCAAATCAAACCTCCTGCAATGCTGCGGCCGTAAAAATATCGTGCAAGAATGGGGCCGACGTCTGAGGAGATCCATTACACGTGACAGAAGTGCAATCCTTCCGCAAATTGCTGCTGATTTCAACGCTGAGCCTTCAACAACTGTCAGCGTGCGAACCATATAACATTGTCGATATGGGGTTTTGGAGCCGAAGGCCCACTCGTTTTCTCTTGATAACTGAACGACACGAAGCTTTACGCATCTCCTGAGCTCGTTAACACAGACATTGGACTGTTGATGATAGAAAACACGTTTCCTGGTCTGTCGAGTCTCGTTTCACATTGTTTCGAGCGGATGGACGTGTACAAGTATGGCGACCTTATGAATTCATGGAACCTGCATGTCAATAGGGGACTGTTCAAATTCGTGGAGGCTCTGTGATGGCATGGGACAAGCAGTGGCAGTAATATGGACCTGACACGTCTAAATACGACTCTGACAAGTGACAAGTACGTAAGTATTCTCTCTGATCATATGCACCCATTCACGTCCAATGTGCATCCCGATGGACTTGGACAATTTCAGCAGGACATTGCGACAGCCCACACGACCAAATTAACTGCTGAACTTAGACAAAATAAATGTGTTAATAATTTAATGATCAATAGGACTATTTGAAAAAAATATGTTTTGTATTTTTCCCTTCATATTCATTTTCGGTGAGGCGTATTGCTGTCAATATATTTTTCGGCATCAAGGACCCACAAAACGGATTCTGGCTACACCACGTGTTAGATAATTTTTTCTCTATATTTAGCAACTAGAGGTAACCACTCTTTCGTGCCAGGACCCGGCGATAAGACTTTTTGTGTCGAAAATTCGCCGTTTTCCAGTCCACGAGTACAATACTTTCTCTTCTTACATTAGTAAGTGCGATAAAATAAAAATCTTTGCAATGATTTTATAATCGGGATTTTCATACCTTTAATCCACAGGCACATACGACCAACTCAATTCGGTTTCCGGAAGAACAGTTTACAGGACCACAAACTCTGGGTCTAACTGCAAACATTGCGACTCGCCTACAGGAGGCATACTAGCAACAGAAATTTGCCTTGGCATCACAACGGACTTCGACTGCATCAACCACAACAATCTGATCTACAAAATCAGTTCCCTATTTCCTTCACTGGCACATAAAAATCTACCTTTCGGAAACCTTCAAAATTCACCACCTTAACTGCACTTGACCACATCCCATAAAAACCGGCCCCCACGCGGCAGTTCTTTTCCCAACATGTTTTTCCTCCAAACGAGCTCCCGATGATTGCACGACTATACATCTACGCACAGGATACTGCCCTGAGTGTACCTAAACGACGCCTCTCCAATTTTATGCAGCAACTACAATAACCACTCTATATAATCTCACAATTGGCAAAAGACAACAAAACTAAACCGGACACTCTCCTACTCACCGACACTGCACTTCCTGAACTGACATTACTCCAATCTAATAAGCAAAGACCACCACGTACTTAGAAATCACACTTTATAGCAAACATACTATGATCAGACATATCGAAGTCACTACTCAGACTGCTAACAAAGGACATAACATCTTGATAACCTTAATATGCCACTCACATACCAAGACTAAGCGTTACAAATTGACACGATCTTCATTCAATTCGTCTTCAAATATAACTGAGAGTCCTGGTCCACTATATTAACAAACCAACTTTGACAAACTCATCAAGACAAAAAATAGATGCCCAAGACATGCTTTCAGATCACTACCTATGGAAAACACCAGAATATTAAGACACACAATTAACTCCAATTGACAAACTCACATTTCCAACACTTACTTGATGTATTCCAGCATCCACCTCCCATCATAAAAAAACACATCCCCTCTATCTTCCTGGAAATAACACCCCAAAATGTAAAGGCAAAAAATAATAATCCCATCCACTTTCCCCCTTCTTTCCAATCAATCATTCCTCAGCAAACAATAGCTAGTCATGAACAGAAGGATCGCAACCCTTCACATTCTCTATAAGGCACAAAAACCAAACCAAACCAACAACCAAACCACTTATATAATGCTACTCTCACCCAAGCAGGGAAAATCGCAAAGCCGTGGGCCTTTCGAACAACTAGCGAAGATCCAAGAGGTAGAGTCCACGTGGTGTACGAATCCAAATTTAGAGTGGATAAGCCTTTCAAAGCATAGCTACTCGTTTACGTACATCGGATTTGGGAACCACAGACGCCGCGCCTAATTGGGTGAAGGGATGGGATCGCAGTTCCCAAAACCACTGCGACACCGAGTCGGGCATGTATTACTCGGACAAGTACGTTTAGCGTAGCGGCATAATTACATTTTTACAGCGATTTACTCAAATTCCGACTTCTCCACGGCAAAAAATAGATTTTTCCTGGTTTTCCAGGCGCATAAAAAAAGCTGAATCATTAAATAACTCTCACGATATTTTCAAGAATCGGACCAAAAAGAGCTCGCTTGTGCTAGCGTGAAGCAAGCAAAAACTGCTTCGTTTTTGTTATGAAAATAATTTTAAATTGTGACAAATTAGGAATTAAATTTATATTTTCGACACACTTTGAAGAAATAAAACGCGTCTATTTGCTGTCGTGGTGACAAGCCAGTAAACATACGTTTTTCGTAATGCAAATATATGGCAATTAATTGTCTTATTTTCGTCACGCTTCATACCAAAAATGGCTCCTTTCAGATCTGTGGAGGCGGCAAGCCACACAAGCCAGGCGTCATTTCTAGTACTGAAATCAGATGCCAATTAATTGTCGCCTAATTTTACTTTCTCGTATACGTTCGTGTATACGGACTACAAAGAAAGTTCTGTAATGCTACAGAAAATCGATTTCGAGATTTCAACAAAAATACACGTTCTGGGGACTCCGATACCAAAAACGTTTTGTTTGTTTTTTCCCCCAAAAAGTCCGACCATCCGTGAACTCCGCTCGCATCTAAAACATACGTAGGATATTTTCCAAAACTGATATTCCCTCGTCAATCTGGTTCCACTCGGGGCGACGCGGTTTTGGAAAACTTTTATAAACCTCATTACTGTACATGAAACCCCAGGTACATTTTAAAAATTTTCTCAAAAATGACATCGATTTTTTTTCTTTAAAGCTTTTGAATGAATAGAATAAAATTTACTTATAAAGGTGGTGTAGTTTCGATTTTCACGGCTTACTCTGAATTTTGAAAATTTCAAAAGTTTGAATTTATTTTGGCGTCATTCTAGAACTATAAAATTGAAGATAGGGATTTTGCCTTCAAATGAAATTTCTCCTTAGTTAGTTCTTTCATTAAGGCCATGTACACTTTTTTGAAAATTTGTGTGGTTTTGGCGCCATATTGCAGACAATATTTGCAATTTAAAAAATACAAAAACAATCTTTTCTCAAAAACGGCTTGGTTGAGACAGTGCTAAATGCACTGTATAAGATGACATAAATATGACGTTATTAAAAGCACATGTACTCATAAATACATTAATGTAATGAAATTGACGATAATATAAATACACTATGTGATCAAAAGTATCCGGACACGTGGCTGAAAAAGACATACCAGTTCGTGGCTCCCTCCATTGGCAATGCTGGAATTTAATAGGGTGTTGGCCCACCCTTGGCCTTCATGACAGCGTTCATTCTCGCATTCTTATTGTTAATCAGGTGCTGGAAGGTTTCTTGGGGAATGGCAGCCCATTCTTCACAGAGTTCTGCAATGAGGAGAGGTATCGATGTAGGTCGGTGAGGCCTGGAACGAAGTCGGTGTTCCAAAACATCCAAAGGTGTTCGATAGAAATCAAGTCAGGACTGTCTGCGGCCAGTTCATTACAGGGATGTTATTGTCTGTAACCACTTCACCACAGACTGTGCAATGTGAACAGATGCTCGATCGTGTTGAAAGATGCAATGGCCATCCCCGAATTGCTCTTCAACAGTGTGAAGCAAAAAGATGTTTAAAATATCAACGTAGGTCTGTTTAGTGTTACACAAAACAAGGGGTGCAGGCCCCCTCCGTTTTGGACGTATCCGAATACTTTTGATTACATAGTGTATTAACGACGTGAAAAAAAGTAAAAAAAAAAGTTACATTTTGTATTTTTTGCAAAAACAAAAAAATCAATATGGCGATTATGCCATCTCATAGAGTGTATTTAGTACTATCCCTGCCAAAAGCTTTTTTAAAATATGGAGGCGTTGTTGAGAAAAGTTTGAAAATGTCTGAGGGGCTTCTTGTAAAGTACTCCAAAATTGTGAAGAAAGTGTTTTAAAACCGCAGCGCCACGAGTCGAGCCAGATCGACCGGGGAATACCCATTTTATAAAAAATTCCTACGTATGGTTAGGCGCTAGTTGTGTTCACAGATGGACGTTTTGAGAAAAAAAAACAACATTTTTTCGGTATCAGAGGACCCCAAAACGTGTATTTCCGTTGAAATCTCAAAGTCGATTTTCTGCAGCAAATGTAACTTTCCCTGTACTACGTATATTATCAGAGACGAGGGCAACTGACCACCCTCCACCAATGTTGGGACAAATTAAAAAAAAATTATTTAGACATTTCATTTCGCGGATCTTCTAATTTATATAATAAAATATTTACTCTTCTCTATTTTGAGAAAAAAATAATCCCTATATATTGGGATTGAGTAACAGTGAGTGTGTGTGTTCGTGTGCGGATTCGGCACTCACGGTTACACGACTTCCCGTCCACCAATCGAAATGTATGATCTGACATTCGACGCATATCGATCTCCTGGTGCGGAACTGATAATTTGTTTTGGATCCGGCAGGAAGATTCTCAAAAATTTCCCCCCAACAAAAGTGTTTTGCGTGTTTTAGAGCTGTCATCATAATTAATTTATTAATGTATTTTTAAAAATACATTGGCAACAACCTTCGAACTGTATTGAACTTTGGAATATCATTGAACCTTGAAACTTCTTGAACTCTTCAGGTAAAAAACGGAGAAAACCAAACTGTGTAATGCTACAAAAGCACATTTAACTTCATTTCTCAGATTCACATTCTTAAGCGTGCAAATACCGATTTTCAAATGAATGTTAGTAACATCTTATTTTTATTAAAATGTAAGCAACATCTTATTCACATAAACATACAAAACAATCGCCTTGTAATGTTTATATAGATTCGCCTACAAAACGATAGAACAATTGCAGAAGTAGAAGTGAATACAATTAGACTGACTTTGCGGAGTTTTTATCGCTTCAAAAATTAGAGGACAAAAATATGGAAGTGATAAGAAAATCCGGGAAATACTAAAATGTAGTTGTAGAGATTTTACGACATATTTTCGATACCATGTTGTTTAGAACTACAATGAACATACGTATATTATTATGATTAAATACCGTAAATTATTTCCGTTACAAACTTACTAGCGATTTTAATATTTAGAATGCCGAAAAATACGCGCATCTCACAAAACGTTTCGTGGGCCGGCGATGCAATAAAAATCGTTTTCTCAGCATTACTTGTAATCTATAGAATCGTAGTCAGCAAACGGAAAACTTTTGGCCGTTGTCCAGGACTTTCTTTAACTGATCTTCAAAAGAAGAAATTTGTCAATGCTGCGAAACGTACGGATTCCCGAAAGTCTCCGAGTGACAACTTTTCTGTGATCCGGCATTTCTACCGTGAGCACACCGTGTGTTAGAGACCAAAAACGACGAGTTTACAATTGTCGAGAAAGTGAAAATATACGAATGATGTTAAGTAAAACCCTTTATTATATTTTGTAAGTATTGTGTTCCACTATAATGTAAGATAAATTGTCACTAATGCATAATATTTGTTTATTGTCAAATGTACACATAGAAAAAAAACGAACCTGTTTTCTCCATTGAATATTTTCTGTTATATTAAATATTATTAGAGTAATTTCACTTTTCTGTTCTTCGGGATCAGGGAAATATTCCATAAATGGCCGAAGTTTGTCGGTAGTGTGTCAACTCAAAACGTATATGCAATCTACTATATTTCATGATCGGCTCAACAGTATTGTGATTTCACATCTTTATAGCTCATAACCGGCAAAAACGTTTTGCAAAAGTTGTTGAATGAGTTTAAATTTTAAAAAATGCAAAGCGCAGCGTTGCTTTTGAATTGAAAAAAAAAAAAGAAAGAAAAAAAGCTTAAGTTACATAAAATAAATGGAATAACAATTTAATGATAAATATAACAATTTGAAAAAAAATGTATTTTTTCCATCACAAAACATTCGGTGGGCGATGGAGGAGGGGGACGCCTATCCGGGCCAACTACAAAGTCGGATTTAACACCAATCGCCGGTCCTGCCGTTTGTAATTTAAAATGGTAAATATGTTTAATTTTTTAAACTGTAGATCAAAAAATTCGCGTTTTGTGTTTAAAGAAGCCTCATCCCGGGTTCTAAGACGGTAATTTTTGTTTTTTCAAAAAAGAAAGAAAAACTTCGCATTTGAATTCGGCGCTGAGAAAATATCAAAAAATGTTTTTCGGATAGTATGAATTATTATGTTGTTTTTCACATTTTTTCAATCAGATAAAATAGTGTTAAGTTGACGAAAAAATAAATAAAAACAACACGTTTCTGGCTGTAGAGGGGTGTCGTTGGTGGAACGGAGAGAAGAAATCTTTCAAAATATGTTTATGTTAGAATTATAGTGTAACTACTTATATGCCATTTGATTTAGGGGAACATTTTACCTTCCGCGGGGGACCCTTTGCCATCCCACCAATAAAAGATCCGAAATCCCGCCTCGGTATAATATGTACGTATACACAAGGTAAAAAGTAAGGCCACGCCAAAGAAATTAGAAAACTAGTTCGAGAAAGACTGCAATTCCGTAGCAACACTTCAGTATTACATGCGCAAGTTTTCTTGAGCCCCAACATACCTACCCCACTCCATAGTTGAATTCAGAATAAATGATAGTCACAGGTTTTGTTGACAAACTCTGATAACCAGAAGTGTTTGCACCCCGTCTAATAAAAAATAGTTCACATAGAAAAACGAGCTAGATTTCATATAATAGTCACCCCCCCCCCTCCACGCATCTACCGACATGAGGGCGCAACAATACGTGCGGGGATAATACCGGCAGTGTATTAGCGACTGACAGTTCAGTGAACAGTTGCCACAAATTACTTCGCACCACACATGGCACCACCTACATCACATATAAATTAAATCTCAAAACAATAATTACAGGCTACGACATATCTCGACATCATATATGCTAAAGTCGAACCTTATCGCCTCCTCGACTTCGTTAGTCAGATGAGCGACAACACTCAACTCTGACTAAGAAAGTTAACAAATCCTCGCAAACTAATTGCTTCAGATCAGGCCACAAGACGTACCCCATCAAGTGGTGAAAGAACTGTCAGACTCGCTTATACGCTGCCGGTACTGTAGTTTACCAGCTTCAGTCCTTATATAGCTCGTGTATGTTCTGGGGTAACGTCAAGCTGAACAAAAGCTAACAAAACTGATCTTAGTGTAAGTTAGTAATACCAAAGTGCAAGTAAGTTCACTTTAGGACTAGTATGTAAAACTTAGCTGTAAGAAAAAGCCCCTCCTCTAGCTGCTTAAGCCGCAAGGCAGCAGTTTATTGTAAATAATTCAAAGGAAATAAATTCCCCTTCTCCACAGGGTTACTGTGGAGGGGCCAAAGAAAAAAATGGTTATGTCAAGCCTTCACACGTTTTTCATAATGAAAATAGAAGGCAATTAATCCAAAAGTGATCGTTGCAGGCGTTGGATCGAAAAACGTTTAAAATGTGTTGACCTGATATCTAGGCACTCTTTTTTACTTTCTCGTGTAGTATGCATATACTGAATAATATCAAAAGTATAGAGAAAGTTATGAAATGCTGCGGAAAATTAATTTTGAGATTTTAACGGAAATACTCGTTTTGGGTTCTCCTAATACTACCGAAAAAGTGTTGTTTTTTTTTCTTCCAAAACGTCCATTCGTCTGTTAACAACTCTAGATCATTGCAAAAGTTTGCAATTTTTTGGCACTTCTCATACAATCACATTATTGACGATGCTTGTTTTTCATAGAATGAAATGTTATTCATAATTAGTTTTTTAATTAATGACATGTTCGTTTTTTAAACTTTTAGTAGTTTTTGCATCATCGAGTGAAATATGAATTCAGTAAAAAACTTCCTGCAAAACGGCTCTAATTTTTTTTTAAATTTTTTGTACAAATAGGGCTAAAAACACTGAATAACAGGACAAACACATTTTGATCAATTGTTTTGATTTTTCAAAAATTACACATGTTATTTTTTTTGGAACAAATCTCATGTAGTTAATACTTACATTGTAGGTATTTGTACATGAATGTATAAATGAATAATATCACATGCTTCAAATGATTTCTAATTAAGTTTCTTAAAAACTTTTCTATGAAACAGTGCTCCAAATTGTGCATTTTAAGAAACATTCAAATGAAATTTTTCTCACAAATGGCTTGAAATTTTTCAATCAAAATTGTCATATGAAAATAGGTTTTACTCTTCTACAATTCTTGGAAAATCATATTTCAATTTCACTATTAAAGAACTGCTAATTGAGAAAATGTTGAAAAATTACTCTGAAGCACTGAAAAATAGCAGTTAGGAAGATGGTAGGCAAACCCCAACTAGAAATTAAGAAACTTAACTAGTGGAAGAAAATCAACCGCTCTATAACACCACTCTCTCGTTATGAAAACATGGCAATTAATTATTACACTTTTTTTCTCTGGCTGTTGGTGCTTGTTACAGTCAGTTGTTCTTCATGGTCTGGAAATACTGACTTTTTTTTGTACCTTTAGCTCCAGCCCGTCAAGACTTTCGCAAGCTTATTCAACTTCATTCAGTTAATGCAAAACAACTTACTTGCTAACTTAGTACAATATTTTATTTGACAAATCTGACATGACCATGCAACAGTCTTTACACAATCAGCAACACCAATGCAAACAATAATACTTACCTCAATGTGATTACAACTCTTACAAACCTGTATTTGACATTTGCATGCCATGATAAATAGAGAAGAATGTATAAAATAAGAATGCACCTAGCATGAAAAATAATGTCTTTTGGAATAGCTTTTTCTATACTACTCTTAGGTTTGCTATGTTCTGCCATGGGTCGTTAACCGCTCTTCCGAAAAACATTTAGTACTTGTCAGCCTTGCATCATACATAATTATCCCGGGTTTTAATACACAACATTTTGGCAATCATTATCAAAATAAGAGGTGATGATACAATTACTACAGATGCCTCTATCTTCTTCAGGCACATTCCAAGCATTACTTGAAATTGATACTTTCCTGTATCTAGAGAAGAGGAGTTATGTATAATTTAAAGCAAAAATTACCTTAACACTGTTATGACAATGCTCAAAACAATGGTAATTTTGTTTAGAAAATTTCAATAACACTCTTGTTGTAATAATGAATTTACTTAAAGAATGCCTCTAGGTCCAATTCGTTTTTATACCTAGAGAAAGGGCAACTGTAGCCCACAATTTAAAAACAATTATTTATTAACACACTCGGTCACCAATTATCGGGGCAGCAATTATATAATGCAAGAACACACTTACAAAAATAAAATGGTGCACAATCCAAATGCTGAAAGTTAAGACCAATGAAAGGAAGTATACTTTCCACAATGAACTAAATCATTTCCAGAACTAATGATTATAATTAAAACTCCATTATGTTCTAAAAGAATTCAAGACTGAATTTAATGTATAACTAAACTGGCATTCAGTAGTCTTTTGCGCACTACATAACTTCGTTGACTTCTGAGCTTATCAAGATCTTTATCGGGTTGCAATGTTGTCATGTTGCCACATGCTTTATAGGAGTTTTTTGGTACATTCATTTCCCTTCATTATAATCAAGACTCCCTCCCCCCCAAAAACAATAAAGTAGCATTGGTGCATTTTGTGAAATTCTGGAATATCATGGTATAACAATGTCCAAGAAACAATATGGAACTAGTATTAGGAAAATGAATTCTTAGATGTATATAACCAAAAAAAAAGTTTTAAGCCACGGTATTCCTTATGTGGTATTAGGTATACGTATGTTGATATTATTACACAGAACACTCAACATCTTTTAATAGTTTTGAAATTCATTAAAGGCATTTGGAAAACTAGTGTGCAATCCAATAAATTGCCACTTTGTAACATTATGTAAATGACAATGACAATAATGTCAAGACTAACGCCAAATGCAGATAATGTTCTCGAGGAATGTTGGTAATTTCAAAATTAATAGCATTTTGGTAATTCAGTATACCTCTCGATAAATGCTGTTTTCCTCTATAAACAAAGATATAAAATATAGGTTAGATATACAAGACATTCTGTGCATTTGAAGTACACTTACATAGAACTTTGGCCAAAGTAAATATATGCTAAATATTCTTTGTTGTCTGCAAAGCCCATTGCCAACAGAACTGTGACTAACAGACTTGTGACATTTTTACTACCTCTCTATACATATATATTTGTATGTATGTACACACACACTGTCACTGCTGGGATGATAAGGAAATTATTCAGTGTGAACAAGATAAGATTCTGCATTACCTAACAATTAGTCTCCCCTCATAATTTTCTTCACTGGGAATTTGAATTTTCTTTTTGGAAGGAAGTGATATACACATCTTTAGGAAGATAACACCAAATGCATGTAACTTCACATTTAATTCATCCTACTTCATACATCATATCATTAACTAAAGTAATCACAAAAGCATTCTCCAATCACTTTCATTCTCAAGAGAACAATTATTTTCATTTATACTATGTATAATTATTTAATGTATTTATTACAAAGCAACTTGATTATGAGCCATGTTTCACCATGAAATGAAATTTTATATCTTATAGGGCAATACTTCAAAATTCACAGAAATCAAACAGCCACAAGGCACAAGTAGCTCTCATTCTGTAAGCTGGAATGATCAGACTTTCTTCTCTTTCTTTAAAATGAATTCTTGTCCTAAATGGTTTTCAAAATTTGTAGGACTAAGTATAGTATGTATGCATTTCAAAGGGATATATGATATCACTAACCTCTTTTGTCATATTTACACAAAATAAAATCCAGAATTGGAGATCTTGCATTTATTATTCAACTTACGAATCCTTTGTGATGGTTACACCCATTTGACACGACAATTGGCAGATCCCTTTAGATATACAGTAAATATCTAATTGAAAATGTTCTATGTGAAATAATCACTGTTTCATTATCTATGTAGGAAATACTGATATACTAGAACGTTCTGTTCCAGTTCCGAGTACTTTTTCGTTGAACTGAACAATATTCCTACACTAAACAAAATAGATTTATTATGTACACTGCTAACAAAGCAGATATTAAATCTTGTACAGGCACTCACAGGTAGCTCACAGAACAGCTTAATACTTCAAAATTTTTTTATCATTCTAGGAAACCACAATGTAGAATATCATAAACGAAGCAAAAGATATTTTAATGTTCATGGATCACAATTATTCAATTCTGAAATACGCTGACAGTACGTCTGCACACTGAAAATTAGTAAATAAATTAGAGAATGTGACTAGGTGATAACGATAATATATATTTATATATATGAAAACGCACCATCACAGAACATTGTTGATACTCCTGAACTTGATTATAGAAGTGAAACGCCCTAATTTGTACTGTGTAATGCAGATACAATATATCTAAATACGCAACATCAAAAAAGCAGAACAGCAAAACTTCTTTCATTTTACATATTTATTATATGTGATGCAGCAGCAAGGGAAAATGCACTGCATTATTTCACTGGAATTAAATGCACCTAAAATGGAGCATTTCAGCCAGACACGCTTTTCCCAATTACCAAGCACTTTTAAATAAAGTGCATTAAAAGTGCGATACGAAAAAATTTCAGGCGACTACATTATTCTGTTCTAAAATAGCAGACACCGTTTTACTCCAGTATCTGAAGGTTTCAGCAGTTAATACAACCCAGGTACAAAAACTACTCATTATTAGACAGTAGTGAAAATAACTTGTTTTTTATTATACAAAAAGATTTGTTAAAGCAATTTTTGATAATTCCTACAGGGAAGAGAAAGATTGTGAGTACTGCATGTAGTACAGTCATACCTCTAAATGTACAGAAACAAATTGTCATTACATGACTGTTGACTAACTGATCTTAGACTGGGCTATATGCAAAATTGTTCATGCCAGATGGAAATTGGAATAACTATATTCCTTCAAAGCATTAATCAACCTGGCCCTAATACAACAAATTACTTTTGTTTCACAATTTGCATTGTTTTCATGTATCAAGTCTTCTGGAAGATAATAATCACTCATACAAAATGGAAGCATCACAAGGAAAAGAAAGGGAGCTTAGTTATGAGCAAATTTCTTTCATAACAATACCAATAAGGGTAACAACAATTCACCAGCAATAAGTATAATAAACTAACTGGTGTTACATACAAAAAGTCATTACTTGTCAGGCTTCATCAGTTTTGAGTGCAAAAAGTACAATTGAAATAAAATAATATTATATTAACATGAAATGAAAGTAAAAACAAAGGCATTATCAGCATTATATCCAAGGAGGAAACACCCTCCTCGCACAATGCCCGAAGACCCAACAATAATTAACAGACAGTACACAGTGGAAGAAAAAATTAAGTTCACACCCTCCACTATTACCCTGGTTCTTTTGTACATTATTTAGTAGTTCAATCTCTTTAGAAGGAACTTTAAACTGTACATTCCATATTTTCATTTATACACAGCAACTTGCAGCAAAATCACATTTTTGTAAAGTAATATTCACAGCACATGTTCTCCACTAAATACACACACACGCATGCGCACAAAAATATTTTCAGCACATCAACACTACCTGTTAGAGGGTGGTGCTCTCCATGGAAATGACTGTCCTGGAGCAGTACGAGGGGGAGGTTGTGCCCACGGAGAAATGTGAGGTCGGACACACATAGTTGGTGGGAACACATGTGGCCCTGTTACTGAAGGTTCTTCTCGGGAAGGTAGAGGCATTCGAGGGCCAACTGATCCCAAAGAGACATTTCCAGGTCCACTTCTCGGGGGAAGCCCAACTCTAGGCAGTATAAGTCCCCCAACACTGTTACCACCTCGACCACGACCACTACTTCTTATCAGCATTTGGTTGTGAGGTGGACACCCTCTTTCACTAGGGCTAAGCCCTTTCAACCCATCGTCAGCATTAACAATAGCTGTCCGAATATTGGGGTCAGAACTATATGTAGTTGCTATTGGTTGCCCTTCCGAAGGATTTTTAATTTGTTCACTGCCATTATTATATCCAGGATGTTGAGAAGATAGCCCTCGTGCGTGTGGATGAACATGAAGTGGAATTGGTTCACTATTTGGTTGTGCCACTTGCAGAGTTTTTGCAAGGATACCAGCAGGTCCTGATAAACCATGGCGTACAAGAAGTTCTGCCAATGTACGTCGTACTCCTTCAGTAGATAAAGGTGTCAGAAGCCCACGCGATCGATTACCACTACTGCTGCTTATTGCATTGTCACCAGCATATACAGCATGGGCATCAAATCCATCACCTTTCTGGCCAAGGCCCCAGGAGCTACCACCTGAAAAAGACATGTTTAACTAAACTCTGTGCCTTTCTATCATTTGATGAACCTATTTCATTTTTATAGCAAAAAGGTTGTAAGTGCAGTTTACTAACTTCATTATCACATAATGCAAATGTGAGGATGTACTCTTGCAGGGTTTGGGTGAATTGAAAGTAGATGGAAACATATCTGGAGCTAAATCATTCCAACATCACCACTCTAATTATTGTTAAAAGAAGAGCTAATTGAAATATTAGGAAACACATATTCAATTATCCCAGCTGCCATCCAGGAAGGGCACTTGGGATTAGTACATTTGGGCACTACAGTGGTCCGTATCTTTCAATTTTAAAAATTCATTATTGCATCCTTTGATTACTCTATGGATAACAGAAATCCAGATAAAGTTTGCGATAATTTAGAAAACAGGAATAGGAACAGCATTGATTATCAACATTTCAACATGATCTCAATTGCCTTCACCAGAAGTATGAAATCATAGGAGCAATGATGATTTCTCAATCAAGTGTCCTTACTGGGACCTGATGAGCCAAGGTCCAAGTTCAATATCCCAAATAATTCTTTATAAGAACATTTACAGTACCAATCTGTTTTTCTTCTAGTCACTGGAAACATTTTCAAGATTTTCCCCAAAGAAAGGGAGTTTGCTTGGTATTCCTGCTTTTCAGAAGAAAATGAGCTGTGAAGGATTTTGCAGAAAATATTTTATTTGCATGAGTGACTGCATTACCAACCAGCAAATGAAGATATTAGATAATGCTGTGAACATCTTGCAGTATATCTAGCTTCAATGACAAAAGAGCCTTTAGAGACCCAGGAAAAATGTGCCTTTTAAGATAGATGTTTTAAAGCAATCATCATTTTCCATATGTTTTTGTTGTGAATTGTGATGAGTGTTCAACTTATAAGGGGTGATTTTTTTGTATCTATTCAAATGGGGGCTTTGATTTTGTTGCTACTTTGTGTCAGAAATTCCGAACCAAACAAACTTTTAAATGTTCTTTAAAGGTTAACAAAATCTCTTCACCCATCTGGTTTCTTCAACCTGCTAGTCACAGCCCAAATGTTTGTGACCCATCAGATTATTATATGAATTGTTTAATTGAACTGTAAATTTGAAGTATGTTGCTTTGAGTATATTCAAATTCAAAATTGATATTATTGCTATGTAAGTAAAATTATTATGTAAGTACACCTTCAGCTTCCGTTTTTAATACTTTAGAATTCTAAACATTGCTGAAATCGTAATGCGTAAAATATTGCTTAATGAAACTTGTGACAATTCTTGTTAAAATAGATAGTAAGTAATATTTTTACATGGTTTTTAAAAATAACAAATTATCTCCACCCATCAACAGTTTTTGTGAAAAATCAAATTTTCAAAACTGCCTATATTTCATGCAAGAGTAAGTAAAAATTACTTACATTTTGGGAAAAATTATACTTGACCATATTTAAAGGAAACTCCTAGCACACACACTGGCTCAGTAGTACCTTAGGAACTACAGTATTTACCTGAATATAAGACGAGTTTTTTTCCGAAATATCTGTCGAAAAATGCGAGGTCATCTTATATTCGCAGATTAAGCCTAGTATGTTAGGATATTAGTTTATTAGTTATTATGCCATTCCATGGCACAAAACTCATAAATGTTGACATAACAATCTGCGAAGTCTAAAAATATTGTGTGTATCTACAATACGTATTTATATTCACATTCGTAACTCAGCATCCACTGCAAATTTTTTCAGGTAATTCAGACTGATATTTATGAATGGGCGCGGTAAAGAAAATATCTAACAGAATGGCATTGTATTAAATGAAAAGTAACATGAAAATGAATGTCAAGAGTTTGTTACAAGATGCGGGTTGGAGCTGTGTGATATCTTGGCTCAACGCCCAGTGAATGTGAATCTGCGTTCAACAGAAACAAGAGGCCACCAACAGGTGCAAGATGGATAGAATATCTGGCAAAAAATGGGAATGTTCTTAGATGGCATCTGATGAAAGACTATGAACAACGTAAAGTTAGTGTGCAAAACTTTCAAGAGGGGCCTAAAAAGCCAGATGTCATAGCATGGCAGGAGGATCAAAAAGAAAGAAAAATAATGTAACATGTGAAGATGAGGGTAGTGACAAAAACTATGATTACGATGACATTAAGGAACAAGAAAATAATAGTTAGGCAATAAATCTTAACATTCTTATCAACAAGGCAATTTTCTAGTCAATAAGACATTTTGCAATTTTCTTTTTTGATTAAATTAGTTAAAAGATATAATTAGTTATAAAATTTTAAAAATTCTCAGAAGGCCTCTTCAAAATTAGGGGGTTGTCTTACAGTCGAGGTCGAATCACATTCAGGCAAATATGGTAATTTATGTCTTTGTATTACTTTTTCTTAAACATCATTAAGTACACAATTAATACTGATCACAAATGTATATTCACAAAAAGCATGTGAATTAAACTAAAACATAATTACACTCACACACGAGCTAAGAATCATCTCAGCAAGCACATGCACTCGCACAATCAGCTAATGTAAAACTCCATTTATGTTTTTCAGGTTTATGCATCATTGTTTAAATATCTCAGCTACATTCTTATACTTCCTTGTCAAATTATTTCTGACATGCATTTCACTTTATTTGTTATTCATGCTTAAATATCCATAATAAAAGATACGACATCACAGTGTAAGAGATAGTGAATGGCATAGACAGTAATTGAGAACGATTATGTCACCCTAGACGAGCTAAAGGAATCAGTTTGATTTGGGGTTAGAGCTGTTCAGTTTTGTTCATACATTAGGCCTTCCAGCCTTCCATTGCACCCTGATAGAAACTGGAGTCTGTGAACAAAACCACAGGGTACAAAGATAATGACGCTAGTTTACACTAGTATCCCGTAAAACACTTTTTTATTAGCCCCAAGGCTTTGTGTTCACGTGTCATCCAGTACGGCTTTGCGAAATGCCCACATTGCACAGTAACCATCTGGTATATTTGTATGAAATACCTGGGAATTAAGTAATATAGGTGATTATGGGGCAGTTGTCACATTTTAAGGGGGTTTATTCTTTATGCCCAAAGAAAAGCAAATGGTCTATGATCACTCTTTTCAAAACAGAGAACTTCCTTTCTTTAAAATGTTATTATTGGGAATATTACATGCATATTATTTTGAAAAAACAGTAATATTGTCAAAATATTGATTTTTTATTTCACACCTACATTTTCATTTTCAGTTAAGGATTTCTCACGATTACGCATTTTGCCTTTTTTTCATCCCCTGAAAAATGTATAAATGAAGTTTCACAGTATGCTTATTATTGAAACATTCACAATTATGAATTGTTGTGAAAATGCAAAGACATATGTAACAGGTAGACCTTGATCTCATCTCACTTCTTCTGAAGTATACATGAACATGAAATGGAAAGGAAATGTTATGTTTACAGGATAATATTAAAAATATTTGCAAACTGCTTGAACATTTGAAATCAATTTTAATACATAATTTTACTTACTTTGAGGATTAAATACAAAATGTTTTGGATCAAGTTTGGGGGGAGGAACACTACTGTTGAATTTAGCAGGACTTCCGGCTAGTAGAAGCTCTGCTTGCAACTTTTCAATTAGCTGATATGTAACTGGGTCCTGCAAAAAAAAAATCAATGACAGTATTTAAAATCAAAAATAAAATTCATCAAATGATCTCTTTCAAAAACAAAACTTTTTCACTTCTTACTCCTACTTGTATTCTTTATCATCAACCCCTTGGATCATGAATGATGTCCCCATCCTTTGCCTCTATCACATAAATACATAATTAAGAATAAAAACAAATGCATAATTTGTTGTTAACAAATTTAATTTAAATAAATTTTTTTTAATAAAATCAAGTTAATATTTTGTGCACTGTGTGCAAGAGTGTGTAATTCAATGTGCAAAAGAAATTACACAACTACTTTAACTCCAGAAAGTTGAAAATTAATTCAATAGCAGAAGAGACTGAAATTGATGTATGAATGGGGATTTGTGATGATGAATGTTTCTCACAATACCAAATGAAAACAATCAATGCAGCATGAAGCAGAATGAAAGTAGTAATGTTAGACTTTGGGTTACACCTTACTTGCACTACCAGGGATTTGTAGGACAGAGACAAGTTTATTCTGAAATAATTTTTGCAATTTAACTGTTCCTTTGCCTAGTCCTTCATGTGTTTATTTTGCGAAGTTTTTGTGTTGTTTTGTACAACTATAACAATACTGACCAACACTAACTATAAGAAAGCATAGTAAGTGAGAACTGACCCGCTGAAACCTTAACCTAGATCTTTATGATAATATATAAAGTTAATAAACATTACCCAAACATAAGAGATTTTTTCTAAATATTTCATTCAAAAATTACAGGGTTGTCTCATTTTCACAAATTAAGTACGATCAGTTGGAGTCTATGATTTAAACTACCTAACCATGACAAGAAACTCCATGATGGAAAAACAAGCAGCAAAGGTGATAAATACCAGGCATATCTAAATTACCTAATTATTTTCGTGGACGTATACTTGACACCCCAGGATTAGCCAGGCAGTTCACAACTATTTTTTAATGGGCAGGTAAAGAGAAAATTTGAAATGTATAGTGTTATGGTAAGTGAAACAATGTGAAATGAATAAAAATAGTGTGTTTAAGATCTTACACAATGAGCTTATCAACAAGGCCATATGGACTCGCAGCTTGGCACGCAGGATGTGCAAATCTGTGTATTGCAAGAGATCAAAATGAAAAAAAATTCACATTGGTTAAGTCCTATGCCTTCAACATCCAACTACAGAGACACAACAATTAATTTAACTATAAAAATGATTACACAACTATATAGCAAAAAATTTCTAAACATTGGTAACTGGACTCTCTTCTAGGCCACTGGCAAAACATAGGTGCAAAGATTATGCAATTAATGGATATTAAGAAAAGGAACATGTAGTGGATCATGTTAAAGACCAAGACAAATTCAACATGGAAATCTTACAGAAGGGTGTGGGGGGCAAAAATATCATAGGATGACCTAAAATGGGAGGACCAGAAAGAAACAATGTTGTAAGTAAAGGTGAATATGGTAGTGACAAATACGTTGATGAATTGAAGGGAGCAAAATTAATTAATAAACACAGGCAGATCTATTTAACATTTTCTTCAAGAAGCAATTTTCTAGTCAATTTGAGAACTTGCAATTTTATTATAAATAAAGAGTAGAAATTGTTTAAAAATTTGAAAAATTTTCAGGTGAACTCTTCAAAATTATGACCATGTCTTATATTTGTGTAAATGAAGTTGACCTGAATTTCAAAGAAGCTCCTGAGGAAAGAAAATTTGTATAAAAACAAATATTTCCTACCTACACAATAATACAGCCAGATGTTATGCACAGTTGGTAATGCTGCAGTATTGTAGACAAAGAAGTGAATGCGACTGAATACGAGGTGCAACCTACTAAATTTGTCATCATCAGGAACTGTATTCCAACTGCAAATAACCATTCCCCAGTCCATATTTGTGTCTCTGCTGCTAATATAATTCACTACATATTTCACTTACATCCTTGTCATTGCGAAGGGCCATCAGCTGCTCCACACGAATTGGCAATTTGTTTGTCAATGCATGAGAAAGCACTGAGAGTTGTCTTTGCAGTGACATTTGTTGTGGTTCTACTCCAGTTCCACCACTTAAAGCATCTTCAGACATTTTTGAGCAGCCTGGTGGTGTATGAGAACTCTCTGAATGATTGGAAGAAGTTGATATTGGAACTGGAGGGCGTATAGGGGCTCCTAACCGAGAGCCTGAATTACTAGGGGGAGTCAGTGACCCTTCTGATGTTCCTATACGCGGTATGGGTCGTCCCATAAGACCAGTTGGCGATGGAGGAGAATTATCATCTCGCAACTGCTGAGACATAGGGGAGCGATTCAGTAGTCCTGCTCCTCCACCAGCCATTGCAGCAGCTAACATACTCTGGTTATATTCTTCTGATGAACGGGAGGAGAAACCAGCAGCTTCTTTCTTCAATGCTTTGGATGAACTAAAACAGAGAAAGTATATCCCTGTCATTTGTTGATAATTTACTTAATACTTGCCTAATCCTTGCACTTCATTATTGAAACATGAAACAAATCACAAAATAAAAGATTCTTAGAGAAAAAGAAGTATCAAAAATGAAACAATAATATGTGGAAAATCATTTACTATTTTATTATAAAAATACAGGCCTCTCAGCTTTCAATGCAGTTAAAAATACCCAAAAAGTGAGTTTAGAGGTAATAAAAATTGTGAGTAAAAAGAGAATTTAAGTTCAACAGTTTGTTTGACAAAATCCATACATTTGAAACGCATAAGAGTTTTTATTTAAAAAGAAATTTAAGCTTTCTACTGAACCAGATTGTAATTTTTTTTTTAAATGAAAGGTAGTGAGCCCTAAAGGTGTATATCACTTGCTCTTATTAATCAATTCTATAATAAAAACACTAAATTGAAATATTGTAAAATTATAGTATGAAGGTTTATCTGCAACAATCAGTCCAGCTTCGATTTAAGGTGCAAATTGCAATCGATCTATTGAACGCAGTCATTGTCTGAAGTCTGAGAGTGAGGTTATAGTGAAACGAAGATAGAAGGGTTTATAACTTTGATGTCAATAGATTTTCCTCCCTACGCAAGAGCGCATCTAAGAACTCTATATTGAGAATTTGTCTGATAAATGCATCCCTTTTCAAAAAAAAACTACTTAAGTGGATGGCAGAATTTCCTGCAGTAGGCAACTATAATGTAAAATTACAGATCTTGGTAAATTGAAAACATTTTGAATGTTCAGAGACAACTAAGCATTCATAGAGAATAGTGATTGTATTATAACATAGTTTGTGCACTTTTTATTTTGAATGTCTCAAAGCAAAATAACTAAATGACGAGAAACAATATTTTTGAGGATTTTGATTTTCCAGTGCCTACATAGTTGAACTTTTATGGTGTAACGTTTCTACAGCTCTTCCTCTTGGGAAGTAATCACTCATTTTCAACTATTTAATTACTGATTTTTTAAAATAAGTAATACTAACTCCTGCAGAAAATATCTTTTATAACTAGATAAATTCTAAAACATTTGAAAATCAATATAAAACAATAAAAAAGGTGTCCCAAAATTAAGTTTAAATAAAGTAAGTAAGTAAATCAAGTAAAAGATTTTTTAAAATACACAGACTATAATAACATTTTCCTATACGAAGAGGCTACTCAATCCCCTCTTCTTTCTGAAATTAAGTTATTGGTATTAGGGTAATATTAGAACCTATCCATACACAAACTTACTTTTTCTTTCTTTTTCCAATATTATAATAAAAATTAAAATCAATAACAAGACAGCTATCTTAAAACATTATTTGTTTAAAAGTTAACTATTTTCCAAAATACCTTTTGAAGTAACAAAATTTTCACCTCCCATACGTAGTTGTACTGTTGTGTTGTGTACATTCGATACAATAATTTGCCAAAATAAACACTGCGAATTCCAGGTATTTTCTCAAAGTTATAGTAGTATTCTGAATAAATAAAATAGGAACAACAAAAGTAGTTTCATGTATAAATACTCAAAATGTTTACTTTTTATATTGTCAGTCAGCAAATTTATATTCTGTTAGATCAAACCCAAAATTGCCAAGAAGTTCCTTTGAAATCGGTAAGTTCCAAATTTCAATTGCCAATAATTTGATCCTAACTGGATAACTCTAAAAGGAAATGACAATATATTCCTCCTACTATTGTTGAAACTAGTAAAAAATTGTGAAACTTTTAAGATGATCTTGAGCTGTAGATTTCTTCTATCATGACCATAATACATTTACATTTGCCCTGCCAGTGCACGTGTGCCTCTAATAAAGGTACTGCCCACGACATTATTTACACGCCGAACACGTTTGCTTTTCTGGTCTTTCTTTCCAAATGGTATAAAGTTTCCCTACAACAGTTTCTAAGTGTGTAATTTCCCCCCCTTCAATGTTACTTCCTTAGTTTTTAAAGAACATTTGAACTTACATAATTAGATTCAAAAAATTAAATTATTAATTCTATTTTTGCAAGAGTTACAAAAGTGAGGGAAAAAAGGTAGGAATGTGAAGACAGTAAAAAAATAGTCTAAAAATGGAGAAAAGTTAGTTGCTGAGAGGCCCAAAAATATTCATTTTAATAATAACACACAAAATAAATAAATGTAAATTCCATAACAAGAGTAAGATTCTGGAACTTCCATTAATAATAATGATAATAATAATAATAATAAACTTAAAAAATACACACTTCATTCTATAACTACAAAAGAAAACTACTTCAATCTGTAATATATTAAATACATTCCACTTCATTAGCTTTCATATAAAGTGCAAAAAATAATTTTACACAAGTACTAAATTACAACAGTCATCGTAGATAAAAACCAAGTTGTAATTCAAAGCTAAACATGGATTGTAATGGTTAACATTGTAAGTGATCATGCCCAATAGTTCTTAAAAACTCAATGCTTACAATTAATTGATTTTAAAAAAAGTTATACATAATTATGACTCATGAAAATGTTATTGATCTTATTATTGAAAAAAAAAAAAACATTTACAACATCTTTAAGACAGTTTACAACAACTAACTTTATTTTTATGCTGATAAATGCAATATAAGAAATTGCAACTGTATACTGCAAATACTTAGCAAGGGAAATGATTGGAACTACAAGATACAAAACTTACAACAAATGAGCAACTTGAAAAAAAGGCATTTTGATATATTAAAATATACAAGAATTAATTAAAAGTATATTCTTTGTTATTTTGAGGCAATCCAAGTTCATATTTTTGAGGCATTGGAATGGAATACAATTTGCATTGGAATACAATTTTTTGGTAAAAATGTTCTGAAGACAGGTGTTTAAAAACCATACAAGAATCACAGATGAAATGTAGTAACTAACAACTGAGTGATTTCTCTGACTCTATTCTCTTCTCAAACATATAAAAAAAATCTTAACATCACATGCAACTAAATGTCTAGTTTCTGAGACTTTGAAAAAAAATTAAATCTGTTGGCAAGCTCTCAGAGAAAAGTTCATGCATAAGTTAATAGTAAAATGAAACATCAACTATATTAAAGAAAACACACTGAAATGGAATGAGTATGTTACCACATGTAACACAAATATATCACTACCAAAATTATTCCTACATTAAGATTATCCCACAACTTAAATGTCAAGCAAAATTACCTTTCAGATAATGGTTGCTTCGTGGGTGTACAGTTCGAAGATCTGCAAGAATAGTACACCGAAAAGATGCAAAAATTAAATAGAAAGAAAATTATAACGAAAATGAAGTTAAAATGAAATAAATATGAAATACATTAATATAAAGCATATTCAAATACAATACTTGAATGCAAAATGAAGCAAATAATTTAAGATAATGAAAAATAACTAATAGAGAAAGACTGATTAGAACCAACACTACTATTTCAAAATTATTAAATTATTTATGTTGGCTTTTCAATCCTCTACACAAAATTTATGTTAATAACAAGCAGCAAAGCAAACTCAAAAAGCAGCAATAGGATATGCCATATTTAAATCTACTATTTGAAAAGCACATATACATTATCATTTCATTCCAAGCATTACAATAAATTAGAAATAAAATTTGCTGGATAGTTTAACATATATTACCAATATGAAAATATTTTAACCTTTTTTTCTACATTTGGCTTGCAATTACCATTTCTCTTAGGACACATTAAATTTTCACTCCTGAACAAGTGAAATCGTATTTTTGAGTTTGAAACTCATTTATATGAAATTTAGTGACAAAATGAAATTGGGCATACAACAAATACGCTTTTCAAATTCTAACATGCTGGTTCATCAACCAAAAATTATAATACAAATAAAATTTTTAACGCTAGTAACTTGCAAATTCAAATATCTGAAGGGGGGGAGGGGGGGAAGAAAAAAAAATCTTTTCAGGGCCATTGGTAATCATGCAAACTATAAATTCATTGCAGGATATTTATGAAAAGAATTAAATGTGGCATACCAAAGAGAATCTCTTCAGAATAATTTATACTAAAACGTCCTAGAAAAATCCAAACATACCCGCCCATTTCATCATCAAATTGCATTTTTCCAGGCAATGATTTTTCTTTCATAAGAGAAGGTTTCCCAGGAGGTAAATTTTGCAGGGATTCTTGCTGTTCTTTAAGTTGACGTCGGCGTTTTTTACTCCACAACTCATGGCAATCTTGCCATGTTGGCAGTTCAGGTATTGGCATTCTGGAAACAGAAGAAACTCATAGAAAATAAGACATGATTCAACTGTCAAGCTACAGAATTCATTCAAGACATTTTCTTTTTGTTCTAAGAAATAGCACATCCCCCAGTGGTTTTTGGGGAAAACAAAAGTAACACACTATTAAAAACTAAGGTTAAGCAATTTTAACATTAACTTTATGGTAATTAATTGTTAATATTCAAAATTAGAAGACTTGATCTCAACTCTTAATAACATCACAAAACAAACTATTGTAGTAAAATTATAACATTTAGTTTACTTCAGGGATAAACCCTTAACAAATAATTCATAAAATAATCACAATTATAGTATATCCTTAAATAATGATGTGAGATATATAATCAGAGAAATGGTTGACAGGGCAATTATTGCAAACAACAAAATACAATTTTCATAAAATTGAGAATAAAAACACACTGAGAATAAAAACTCAAAGATTCTGCATAGGAGGTCATTAGAGGCACACTTCTTTTTACAATTGAGGAACAAGAGGAAGTCCTTCCTCTGCGGTTCTCCTATTTTAATGTGAAAGAGAAAAGGATTCTAGTTCTTTGAAGAACATAATAAAACTCGGAACCAATTTTGGAACTCATGATGTATCCTAATTGCAATATAAAAAATATTAATTCATTGAAAATTCTCAAGTATTTTAATATCTGCATTCGGAAAGTCTTTTGAGACTCCACATAATAAGCTCAAGTAAGATTAAAGTATTTATGCAAGTGCAGAAAAAAGTGGACAAATTCATAAATAGGAGCACAGGGTGAAAGTAAATTGAAAACTATTAGATATACATGAAAAGTAGCATGACTGTGCACACTCTCCCAAGCATACACAAAGAAACCTCTATGGAAAGTTATAAGTGATGGACTTAAAATGCCATTTAACTTAAGTAGGAGTGACACCCTCCCCCTCTCCACACACACAAGACACTAAAGTACAGTTGTAGAACAATTCAGCTTTATAAATTGGACCACGGTAGATTGGGACAATTTACCTGCGGAAGTGGTAGTAATTCTTCCCAGGAGCAAAAAAGATATGTGTTTTAGCGTCCTCAAGAGCGTTCAGTATACATTGCAGTGACGTGTTTCAGGGAAAAGTAAAGGTAAATGAAAGTGCAGGCATGCATGAACTACATAAATGTAACTTCGTTATCTGCGCATGTCTCCTAGAACTCAGGAAGAAATATAGTTATTCAAATTATTGTTCTCCATGTTGTTGCGGTAGAAGTATCATTCCTTCACGAAGGACATGAGGGATAAGAGCCCAAAATCTATAGCTGATTTACCCTAGAAAATAGATTTTATTACATCGGAGTGAATATTTTGCTAGCAATACTTGCTGATTTCTTTCTGTATTCAAAATTCAAGTAGTATATGTCTTAGGGAAGGGATCACAGAATTATGACTCCCTACAGCATGTCACACACAGTTGTTAAATGTTTTTGTCATAAAATAAATAAATAAAAACATATCCTTGCCTTTAATCATATTTGTTACCAAAGTGACATGTATTCAAGTACAGTATTGTGCAGGGGAATGAAGTGAAATGAATAGAATACTGAAGAAGTAAACAATGTGCATGTTTAAGTAAATTTCTAGTATTCTAACCTTTCAGTGTGTATCTATCTAAAAGTTAACTATAATATATTTATCCAAAAAAGCAATTGGCTAGTAATTGGAAATTGTCAATTACTATTTTAATATGTTAGTGTAATGTTCACGGCATGAGTAGAATGGTAGTTGTTGATGCATTTTCAGGTATTCTAAAATTTGTAATTTTAATTTCTGTAATTGGCTACATCTGTTTGTTGTTATATTTGATATGTATTTTGTGTTAAACTTCCAACAAGCAAAGAACCATTGATATAGTGAATATTAATATTGAGTATTAGATGACCGAAAAACAAAAGCATACTCTAGTATCAATCTGACAAAGAAAAATACAAGTTACTCACAGCATTATTTGAAGCTTTAGCTAAAAACATTTAGCTAAAAACAGCTTGCTTCCAAATATCATTAATTTGTAATTTTTATTTTTAACAAAATATATTTCAGTATTCCATTTTAATTCCACTATTTCTTTTGAAACATCAGATTTTTTAATAAACAACATACACAAATTTAGTAACAGAAATTTATGTAAAAGATACATAATATGTGGTATGTATTTACCCAAATATACGATGAACTTTTTTATAAAAGGAAATTAGTTCTCAATAAATGAAATGAACAAAATCACATAATTTATATATTTTGTAAATGCCAAAATCTTTTATGTACTCCTCATTGATGGTTCTCAAAGGAGTACGTACAGCACAGAACTACTCTCTGGAATAATGTCAGAATATTATGTAAATAATTTCATTAGGAAAATGTGAAAACAACAAATTTAGAGACTAAGACTACACCACAAGGTGACCAATAAAAAATTGTTGACCCAATAATTTTTGTAATTTAATAGAAAACGTGGGTATGATTGATTCTGCATAACATTCAATATGGGAAGGAATTTCAGTCAGACAACTGTAATTCTTCATTTAAATTGTTTTTTAATATTAATGTGAAAAAATACTGAAAATCCTTTTTCACTTAGATATGTCGTTAAAAACTAACACAGAGGTAATCAGTAACTTCCAACCATTGTCCTAATGCATTATAAGTCCACCAATTTGGGTAATTTGCAGTCTCCCCCATGACAAAAGAAAGTGTTAAGAGCCAAAAAGAGTAAATATGCTCAACATGACTAATAATTTCACGCAAAATAAATAGAATTTCATGGAAGAGGTTACCCTCCAACATTACAAATATTTAAATTTTTAGGAAACACTTGTATCAGGCAAGCATAAATACGAGGCATATTCCAAAATTCAAGTCCAGTGTCCAATATTTAACTGATAGTAAGCCTGAATGAAGTTTCATGCATGTAGTGCTGTTTATCAACTCCTTTGGAAGGTGCAGCATTGTTGCTTTGATTCAGTAATCATTTGCCAGTCAGTGTGAACAGATCTTAATGGCCAAAACAATAACAGATCCTGGCAGCTATGGGTGATGTTTGCATGTGGGCATGCTTTTTGCTGGCAAAGGATCTTCGGCTGTTGAATCCACGATGAGTTATGCCTAGTGTATGGACCAGAATTGATGAGTGACAAACAAGTTAGAAAATGGTATGGAGAATTTCAAAATGGCCCCACAAATGTGCACAACGAACAACAGAATGCCAGGCCGAGTATTCGACCAACGACATGGTTGATCAAATTAACCAAAACCTTCAAAGTGATCGGTGATTGACAATTAGTGGTCTGGCTAATGAATTCCCTAATTTTGGGTCTACCTCAATTTACAGGATTGTCACTGCAGAGCTTGGATATCGGAAACTTCATGTGAGATGGTGCCCTAAAATTCTCTCTGATCAACACAAAGAGCAAAGAATATGTAGTGCACAACAGTTTTTGGAGCACTGCAGAAAAGACGAATATAATTCTTTTTCCCACCTTATTACAGGAGAAGAAACATGAATACCATATTCCAATGCAGAATTGAAACAACAGTCAATGCAGTGGCACCATTAAGTTTCACTCAAACCAAAAATATTTAGCAATCTCCATTCTCAAATCGAAAAATGATGGCTACTATTTTTGAGTTGAAAAGGGCGTCCGATTGATTTCATGGACCGTGAGACAACTATTACAGCTGACGTGCATTGTGAAATAGTAACAAAAGTCAGGCATGCAATCCAGAATCGAACGCTGCGGGAAACTGTCATCTGACATAATCCTCTTTCCACCAAGGAGAAGATTCAAGATTTACATTGGGAACTTTTTGATCACCCTCCATTTAGTCCCGTCCTCGCACCAAGTCACTATTTACTCTTCTTGCATTTGAAACAGTAGCTGGGTGGACAATGATCTCAAAACGACGACGAACTCAAGACTGGCTCTACCAATTTGTTCAATTCCCAGACAGATTTCTAAGTAGAGGGGTTAAAATAGTTGGTACTGCGTTACAGAAAGTGTATAATGTGAATGGCGATTATGTGGAAAAGTGAAGTAGATATCTAGCAAAATATTACTGTCAAGAAAAACCTTTTCTCGTGACTATTTTGTTTTATTACCAAACAGAACTTTGTTTTGAAATATATCTTACACTATAACAAACAACCCACGTTACAAATTGTTTCAATTGTAACATAAAAATGGCACATCCTAGAGCCTTAAAATCTGATATTTGAGACTTCGATTTGTGTTTCTTGTGTTGTGTTCTATAAAATGAGATTTTGGAACTTTCTATTACATTTTTAGGAGTTTAATTCTGTTGGGACAGGCAGAATGTCAAACTGTACAATAACATTTTTCTTCATGCACGACAATAAAGCAAATTCAGGATTTTAGAGGACCAAAATTGGAAAAAAATCTTATATAATTTTATATCCTGATGAATGTGACATGTACAAATCTTGACAGCATATGATAAGTGAATAAATACTAAACAAACAAGGTATTTGTCATTTTTTCTATGAATTTCACCTTCAATATTAAACACACTAAATAAGTTGATTTATAGACCAGTGATTCTGGGCATGTCAATCGCTAAGGTCATTAGCCTCATAAGTGTGGTGCATGTATTTATCACAGGAGGTGGCAGTGATATTCTTCCCTTAACTGACATATCATCTTTTAGGGTTTTCCCCAAACAGATATCTCCCACCAGTGGGATGTTGCCCAACTGAGATGAAGCTCTAAACTCCCAATTGGTCTCCCGCAATTTATGGTGGAATAGTGGATGTAAGTTTAACACTGTGAGTACCTAGTGAGGATAGGTCATGGAAGAGGAAGGAAATATTGTGTGCAGCTGATACTCACATGTGCTACAACCCCACACTAATGTATGTTCTACCTGGGGGACAGGTCCCTAGGGTTGGTCCCTAAACTTTTTGCTTTTACCCTAACCCCTTGACAATGGACAAGTCAGCCACCAGGCTGGTATCTGAATTCCGGCGAAACACAGTATCTCGACAACCTTCCTATTCAATGCTTGGGACAGGCTGCCCTGCCAGCTCAGAGCTCGTAGCTATCCAGGCTAGTACCAGAGTCAATTCAATCTGCCACTCACATAGGCTGGGACAAGTCCTTCTCTTTGCCCAGAGTATCGAGCCACTGCCACAATGAAGCCAAGAGCCCAACAGGGGGCCACCTGAATTGAGATTTGGATAGCTCAGAGCCTCCCTCCCATCTCCTCACCTTACAGAAGTATCACCAGAACCTAGGCAGCCTGGCGGGTGGTATCAGGTTCCCACCAGACATCTATATGCGAATTCCAGAGCATTCTGAAGAATCTCCTTCCTCCTTTGATCCTGCTCAAATGTTGACGTGCTATAGGCCCAACTGGTGGATTACTGAGCATCCCGGCAACAAGGAGATTAGCATCGTCTTTTCACTGCATCCACCTTGAAGCGTAAGACACGAGTGTCCCTGTGAAACCGGGTGGTGGTCTACAACCCTCCACCAGACCACGATCATGACCATCTACATAGTCATGATCCCCTCCCAGCAGGGAACTATATCACATGTGCAGTCCGTGGCCCATTTGTTAGGATACTGCTCTAACATTTGCCTGGTGTTGATTGGGGACACTATGGAAAACTACCAATGGGAGCATCTGGATGCTAGAAATGTCCTCTAGACAGTGGCTGAATTTTTCCTCTCTGTTTCAAGTATCGAAAAGGTTCCACAGCTGGGACTCAAACTCTAGGACCTTCCAGTCAAAGGCTCTGTCATGACCAACTGAAGCCCTGGGCCACCTAAGCTAGACATTATTAAGTCATTTTTAACCGTTAGATCTCTTGAAAATGGTTAGAACCTAAGGAGTGGATAACTATCTGAGATAAAACAGTAAAAACTGAAGAATTATAGAACGTAATGGTAAAACGATTAATAGTAAAATAAAATGAAATTACTTACTTTTCTGGATTGACATTTTTGAGCCATGTTGATTTTAATGCTTCTTCTGCAGTTATTCTTTTACAAGGATCCAACTGCAGCATCTTGTCTAGTAGATCTAAAGCAGGAGTTGGCATGAACATCTTATATTCCTCCTGTAAACGCCTGATGTGAGGTTTCTTTGGCCTGAGCATATTCCACAAAGGAAGCCTTATAACAGAAGGCCAGACTGCTGGCGTAGGAGTCCCACAAATCCTAGAGATGGTTTCAAGCTGAGCAAGCTCAACATTTCCCTGAAAATGTTTTTGCAATTTTTCACTCTTATCTGCACAATGGAATCTGAAGAACCAAATTGAGAAAAGAAGAGCAGAAAAAAACCTTCATTTACTATAAATTATATTACTTTCCATTCCAGTTATAATTACTTGAGAAAATATTCTGCACAAGAACATACACAATATTTAAGACAAACATACATCACACCTAATGCATGGAATTAGACACACACTGTATTATAGACGTACCTGAAACATTGGTTTCTTGGCAAATAGTTCCCCTAAGATGCAACCGCAGCTCCATACATCAATTGCAGGTCCATATCGTTCTTCGCCTAATAGAAGTTCTGGAGGACGATACCACAAAGTGATAACTTTATTTGTATATGGTCTTTCTCTATCATCAGCATTATATAATCGTGCCAAACCAAAGTCTGCAAGTTTCACCTCCCCTCTGAAATTAAGTACATAATAAACAATAAACCAATCTTTAAAATTCTGCCTGAAATATAGTAAAAAAAACTAAATTATATATGTTAAGTACCTATTGTTCATTAGAATATTGCTACACTTAATGTCACGATGAAGAAAATTTTTCTTATGACAATAATTTAAACCATCCAAAAGTTGGCGCATTATTGATGCATTATGATTTTCGTTGAAATCCACCATACCAGATTCCAGTAACCCCATCAAATCATGGTCCATGTATTCAAACACTAGATAAAATGAGCCTTTGTCCTGAAAAATAATATATTTTTGATATAATTATAATTTTAAATATGGACTTAAACCAACATCTTCAACAATGATTTATACAAAAGGTATGTAAATACACAAATTGTAACACTCAAATTTAACAAAAAATACATTAAATGATTTTGAATTCTTCAGTTGTTCATCTGTTTTAAATTAGTGAAACTATTTTTCTGCAACTGATTTTGTAATGTTTATAATACGTATATACATTGATGATATTCACAACTCTGCCCCTGGCAGGTTATCACCTGTTGAGTTTCATCCAATTGAGAGCTTGAACGTCACCATGGTGACGTCACCATGGTGACGTCACCATGGTTTTTCTTCCATTCCTTTGTCGAGCTAAATTAATATAAATGGATGTACTAATTTCAACAATTAATACTAAATTAGCAGCTTACACACCATTTAATATTCACTTTTAAACAAAGGAAGATACAACTATTCCATGAAACTAACCTTCCGGAAATCCAAAGCATCTTGTTTGTCAGTAACAATTTCCCGAAGATTCACAATATTTTTGTGGTTTAACTGCCGCAGGATTTTAATTTCACGTACAGCAGTAATAGGAAAACCTTCTTTTTCATTTTCTAAACGAACTTTCTTCAATGCAACAAGAACACCTACAAAAATAAAATATATAAATCAGTCACTTGCACAAACAATATAAAGAAATGAAAAAAAGTATTTTCAAAGTGATTAAAAAGAAGAAAAGGAAGAAGAAAAAAAGAAGAAGTACAAGAAGAAGAAAAAGAAATAAAAAAGTAGAGATGCCTACTTCATCTTTGATGCCCTACTCCAGGATACGAAAATGACAAAAGCACATCTGAGAAACTTATTGCCAAAAATAATGTTTGACAAAAAAAATAAGAGAATATTGCATTTCCATTTGAATATTATATTACAAATTATTTTCTGAAGTCATTTAGCATCCTTCAAATCTGCAACTTGCAAGATCAGAAAAATAAATAACACAAGATTTTATGAAGTAAAGTGATTTTAAATATGGATTATACTGGAATTAGATTTCAATAATTTCATAATACAACCCACCCACTGCACCAAGATGCAAATACGATTCTCAATTTAAAAAAAGGTTAATGACTTGCTGGAGCAGTAGCATAAAACAAATGGGGGCAATTGTTTAAAGAAAAAATACATTAAATCATGGTGTATGGGTTGACTTCATAGTTTCCAGCCATCTTTTTAAGTATCTGTAACTTCAATAACTTTCGAAATTATACTTTTTAACAGATTGACTATTCTTTTAACATCTTTTCTGTAAAAAAAAAAAAAATCTTCTTTTATCAAAAAGCAAGTAAATACTGATGATGAGCAACAAGCATTTGGAACCACAAGTTATGAAACAAACAATATGCCAGATGAATATGATCATTCTAGAATCAATCTGGTCAATATCTGTTTTGTCGATATATTCTTCACAAATACGCATATTTGTGCAAATTTTCTACGAAGGTCTAATGTGTCAGAAGCAATAGAACTTTGTAATAATGCAGCAATGTGTAACTTACTATTACTTTAAAATGCCTTTAATCTTTCAAATAATGAAAATATTTCTTCAAACAGAATAAAATATAGTTTCTGGATCAACAACATCAAGTTGTAATATAGAATTTGAGAAACGTTTCCTGAAACACTTTAATAACCTGATTTCTTAAAGGATTTTGTATGTAGATTTCAGGGCTTTCAAGAAGGGCAGCACACAAAAGGGAAACAATATTCAATAAAATCAACATTTTAGAAACATTGTTAATGTTCCTACGATTATTTTGCTACAATTGTCATGATTTGCAAACAACTCAGTTTTTCAAATAAATGTTTATGAGATTGTTTAAAAATCTAGTTTTTAAGAACACATTTCATTCGGAAAAAAGTATCTTCATACTATAGTTTTAGGAGAAAAAAGGTTAACGTGCCAAATTTTTGAAATTTCAGAAGTTTCACTGAAAATCTGTCATGAGATGTACGTATACTAGTTCACTGTGAAGCTTTGCTTTGCTTTAAAGTGAAGAATAAATTAAAGCCATTTTGAGAAAATTTCAAAAATATTCTAGGGACTTCATGCCCAAAAAAGATTATTTCAAATCCAAAGGGCTACATCACCCAAGGTCATTGGGAATGACCTCTAATGAAACTCTAAATGCTTACTTGAAGACGTTTACTTTAAGAAATTCAATAGAGATTAAGAAACTATAAAGGGTTCAAGATACTCTATAAAAAGTTGAAGAAACTCTGTAAAGAGAGAAGAAAAATTAGTAGTTCAAAACAGCACACACTGAAATTATATCTAACTTTTGCAATTTAAAAAATAGAAATGAGAACTGTGTTGTTCCTTTAAACGTCCCTTGTTCTATTCATGGGAAAAAAATTGAATAATACATTTGGAATTGAAAAACTTTTTTTAATATAATTTACATAAACTTCAAGCAGAAATTCACCCAAAAATAATTTGTTTTTTTAAATAATGTACATCACCTTCTGTAAAATCTGATTTCTTAGAACCAATTTCATTGAACAGAAAAATCTATATTCAAATTTGTAGTCTTGCAATTTTTGAAAATGTAGTGTGCTGAAAATGGAACCAACATCATTTTTTTTTCTGTTCGTGGATACTTATGGGGAGAATATTTACATAAAAAATTTTAAACTGTTCTTGAGAAAATAATTGTTTCAAAACTGCCCATGATATTTCATAGAAAATTACTTAAAAACACTCACTTTAAAAAAAATTGAATATGACCTTATTTTAATATCTGCCTTTGAAGAACAGATTTCATTAAAGGAAAAAATATCAATCTTCAATTTTGTACATGTAAGAAGATGCCAAGGAAAATTTTCAAATCTTCCATTTAAAAAAAATCAAAAATTGCAACAAAAATGAGACCTGCACCATTCTTATAAGAGCCCTTTTTTCAATGGAGGAAAAGTTTAGTTGACTCTAGTGGAGCTACAGAACGGCACAGACTTTCCCAAATTAGTTTTCTATTTCCTTTGGTCTCAGCTAGCTATTAGGACTTTTCACATTCACTTGTCAGCTGCCTTCTATCACTGCGCAAGTACAATTTTTTTTTGAAATTTTCTTAATTTTTCGCTTTCCTAGTAGTAAAAAAGATATTATTTTAAGAAAATTAAAAACAGTAAAACCTTGTTCTAAATTGCAAATTTGCTTTGAAACATTTGGAGCAGTTTTTAAGAAAATGGCGATCAAAATGATTACATTTGTGTAATTTTTGAAAAACATAAGTCACAGCGAACGCAAACATTAACAATGTGATAGACAAGTTATTATATATATAAAGAATAGAGCAAACTGATGTTTATGTTATGTTAAAAAACAAAAGTTTTTTTATTACATACGCTGTACACAATATTGCACAACTACTAAAATTTAAAAAAAGTACATGACCTTATTGAAAGAACTCACTATGGAGAACAAATTTTATTTGAAGGAAAAATCTTTATCCTCTCTATTTTGGAAAATTCAAAGTTAACCCTGAAAATTGGACATATGCCATTTTTACAAGTGTACTTTATTCTATTTTGAAAAGAAATTGAAAGAAAGAATGTGGAGCACTTTTTGAGAAAATTTTGAATATAATTGAAACTTTATGTAAAGTACCCCAAAAATCAAAATTTGTTTCAACCTAGCAGGCCTAGTTCATTCGATCAATTTTGGAGAAAATCATCTGAACAGTGTTGGTGCTGGTGTTGATTGATGAACAGATGTTTTGTCATCAGTAGATTTTTTCGGTAAAAAGAACTTGCAAAAAATGGATTTAGACTTTCCAAAGCATTCAAGGAAGATATTTATTACACACAGGAACAACATTTATCCACTCTTTTGTTACCTGGGCCAATTAAATTTTTTTTTGCTGTAGAAAACCCTTTATCCAGATCTACAATTACAATACTTCCTCTTCTTATAAATATTTTTATGGTTTTAAAGACCTTTCCCCCCCCCAATAATTTTGATTATATAAATACACACGAAAAATATTACACAACACACACACACAACACACACACCACACACACACAAACAACACACACACACACACACCACACACACAAACAACACACACACCACACACACAAACAACACACACACCACACACACAAACAACACACACCACACACACCCCACAAACAACACACACCACACACACCCCACAAACAACACACCCCACACACACACACACCCAACACACCACACACACACACACACACACCCAACACACCACACACACCCAACACACACACACACACACACAACACACCACACACACACCACACACACCACACCACACACACACACAATGTAATCACGATTCTTTACAAGAGAACAGAACAAGAAATGGTTGACAGATCATTTATATGACAATTTGAAGGAAAGAAAAGTAATGTAAACAAATCACAATTTTTCAACTAAATAGTTATTAATAATAAAAGCTCTGGGCTAACATGCAGACTCAATACTGAACTTTTAATTCCTGAATTATTTTACAGTGAATTATTGGGGAAATGGGTAAATAGCCTGATAAAGTGATTCAAAATGTTTCAATGTCAGTAAAGATAAAAACACAATTTATAAAAATTAATAAATCAATTAAAAACACGTTGACCATTAATATCATTACAAACTTGCTAGTGACTAGTTGAAAATAGTGATTAATGATATGGGTGGTTAAAGTAACATTTTATTTTGAGAGTAGGAAATGTAATACAAATCCAATAACTAGAAAGATGCAAACCTATGAGCAAAATAAAATCACTTTTACCATGTGTATCCTATACCATTATTTAGACAACCTTACACACTGTCCTCTTATTTAAATGTACAAATCACTTAATCAGGTATCTTGTTACATGAAGATCAGATCTACTGACTGTTAAAAAAGTCATATTGTCAAAGCTACACAATGATTGAAAAGTTTTATTACAACAATGTAGAAATTGAAGACATCAAAACCTGCACTTATTAACAATATCTCTTTTGAAATTATACTGTATTAATGTCCTCCTTCAGAATAAGAACAAGTAAAGAGGGAAAGAAAAATAAAAATAATGTAGGTAAGTGGAAAAATAGTAGACACAAAATGGAGGGTAAATTAAATACTTCCTTACCGGACTGTTTATCTCTTGCTTTGTAAACTTGTCCATATGTACCCTCACCAATTTGAGTCATGACTTCAAATACATCTACACAACGTTCACCCCAGTCTTTGTTAATGGTCAATTTTGCTCGACGACGGTGTATGATCTTTGGTCTCTTTAATTTTGGTCGTGGAAGTGTTCGTGTAGGCCTGGATCTTTCCACAGCAGCTGGAGGAGGAGGAGTTAAAACTGCATCTTCATCAGGACTGAGATCTTCTGAGTCTAACATACCTGTAAAACGCACACGAGTTAAATTTTAGACAGGTCATTAAAAATATATTTGAAAGAGACTAGGACAAATTGTACATTTTGAAAATTATAATACCTGGAGGCATGGGTAAATCTTTAATTCCTGGCTGTTTTGTTTTGACAGGTTCAGGTGTGGGTGACCGACTGGGTGGAGAATCAATGCTTTCAAAGTCACTTTGTTGTATTCCAGGAGGCATAGGAAGCTTTGTTAAATCCTTTGGCTTATTTACAGGACGATTTGCCTCCATTCTTGAGCCACTTGTTTCAGAGTCACCAAGAGCCTTTGTTTTTCCCACTGTACAATCACTTGGCCCTATTTTTAATTTGGCATCTTGTTTATTCGGCTGTGCTTCATTTCCACTAGAAGATTGAGTTGGTACTGGTCCTGGTGCTACAACTTTGGCAGGAGGCTTTGGAGAAGTAATAGTGATAACTGTTTCCTGAACTCGTGCTGCTGGAGGTGGTGGTGGTGGGGGTGGCGGGGCTGCTGCTGTTGCTGCTGCCGCTGGTGGTGGGGTCGTTGGCAGTACTGTCGTAGGTGGAACAGCACTTGCTGCTGGAGGAGGTGGAACTACAGTTGCAACAATAGGAATGGTCTGTGCAGCTGGAGTAGTTGATGTTACACTTGGTGAAGGAATTGTATATGTTTGAGGTAACATGGGAGATGTCTCCACAACAGGAACAGCATTAGGAGTGTTTCCTACAGGTGGCATTACAGCTTGTGACTGATTTGCACCTGGAACAGTATGTGGAGGAACTCCACGAGGCAGTGGTGGTGGATAATAACCACTGGAAGCTTGTACTGCCACTGGAACTTGTGGATAAGCTGGTACTTGAGGCGGTATATCATTTTCACAAGGAACAGGAATGCTGTTCACATCAACAGGAGCCATATGTGTGAACTGGGGAGTGGGAGTAGGATTAGGGGTTTCAGTTTGATCATTACTATTTTCATCTTTATCAATTACAATAACATCATCTGAATCATCGCGTGCTGCAGTTTTTTCCTTCAAAGCAGCTGACCATTTCATAGCCAATTCACGAGTATTTTTGTTTTTAACGAGTTCTGAAAAGAGACTTGTTTCACTCATATTTGCCACTCTAAGTTCTTTGGATGAAGTAGATGATAATGGACTTTTAGGTGTGCGAGGACTCTTTGGAATGGGGCTACGAGATCGAACCTTTACTACTTTGCGAGGAGGTGTCTGGGGACTGCGTGATGCACGTTGACGCGTGAATGGGCTTCGGGACCGACGTAGAGATGGAGTTTGGGAACGGCGTCTCTTTGGGATGAGCGGCTTTGCTCTTGGAGAACGGGAACGAGAAGATCGTCGATTTCCACGCCCCAAGTAACTAGGGGAACGACTCCAGTGTCGGACATTGCGACCTCTTGGAGAACGGGATCGAGACCGACTGGGCCGTCTCCATCTTGGGGCACTGCGACTGCGAGAACGGGTGATTGAACGACTTGGAGGACGACGTATCCTAAAATTTGAAACAGAATCTTTAAAGTTTCTAAAGCAGCTTCATATTATTCAAATATTTAGAAAAGTAATGAAGCCTATAAAACTATATCATATAAACACAATAATAATGATATAAAACAATGAGGGACTAAAATAATGAAAGTGTTAATATTATTTGACTTTGAAAATGCTGCAATTTATTGTTGCCAACATTGTAGTAAAGCAATGATTAGTTCTACCTTTATTCAAGCATAAAATCTACTTGTTGGACTTATATAATCATGTTCATATGAAATAATTGAATAAGCCTCAGTAATGTGTCACATTTTGATTTGAACTGAGAATGAAACCCACTGACCAAAAACAAAACATTTCACACAAAACAGAAAATTTAGTAGAAAGAAAGAATAGTGGTAAAACAATATCTAAATTATGCTTAAATGTAGTCGTGCAAATTTTTCTGTTATCTCTTCTTTACCAAATAACTGAACATTCAGCGATTTTGTGATGAAATATGTTAAACAACTTACTCACGAAGAATGTGAAACAAATTACTTTTAACAACAATATATTGTTTGAATAAAACATAACCGATTGGATATTCTTGCACAAAAAGTAATGTGTTCTTGATTTTAATAATCGTGCATTACAGAATACTTTAAAGGAGTTAAAAAACTAATATTGCATTTCATTTTGATGCAGATACTTCATTGTTAATTTTATATAGAAATGTTTAACAACTAATTCAATCACACTGTACACAGCAATATACAAATGATTAATAATAGCAATTAAACATATCGCTTTTATTTACGTCAAAAACTGTAAATCTCGATGATGGGGATGCAACATAAGAAGGAACTCTCCATTTACTCTAGGAAAGGAGTGAAAACCCTCTCACTGGCTTGATTAATTGACCCGCACCCAAACACTAATATTAATCTTCTATAATACATTTTTACTTCTGTTATTCAAGATAGATTAAATAAAAATTAAAGAAGATAAAAACAAAAATTGGAGAATTGTTTAAAAAGCAGGATTGCCTTGGATGAAAAATCAAATAATCTTTAATGCCTACAAGGACACTAAAAAGATTGTTCCAGAAAATTAATTAATATATACGAATAGATTGGAGATTCCATTTTGGCAATGATAAATCATGTAATGTCCAAATGCATGCGATCATAATTTAATAGGGCTTGGATTTTTATGACAGCCATTTTTTCTGGCAAATTTTTCCTTAAAGAAGTTAATTGAAACTTGTTGCACGCTTTTAGAAAGAATATCATGATTTTTTTAGTCATATAAATGCATGTTTGGGCATTTTTAATAGGTACTTTTAAAATAGGTTTTGGATGAAATTTAAAATAAAAATATTCTCATTCTTGCTCTAAATCACAAGCTTTAACAATTTTTTATGAAAGGCATTTCTCATCTCAATGTTTTCGATTGGCAACCTTTTCCATGAATAACTGCTCTAGCTAGAGAAACAATGTAAAATTTGGTTCCTAGAACCAAGTTCTTTCGTTTTCATTCCTAACAGCATTGGTGCCTTTTACAAAAAACACTGCTAGTCTCTTTATCTGTCTTGTATAGAGGGTGCTTTTCCCAAATTCCCTGAAAGTGAAGAGTTCAGAGAGTGTGTGACCTACAGAGTTGTAAAAGAATTCGTTGAGAAGTATTTTATTATATCCGCATGTTTTCTTGAGCCCCAGAATATCTACTACCACTACTTTCCCAACATTAGTTGCATTAAGAATAAATGATAGCAATCAGAGTTGTAGACAAAATCTGGTGTTGAGGAATGTTGGCTCCTGTGTATTAAAAACGAATTTGCGTGGAAAAATGAACTACAAATTCAACGTAAAATTCATTTTGTCAAAATAACCAAACTCCCCACTCCTCTTGCATCTAGCAAAGTAAGCTCAAAAAAATATGTGCGGATAATAATATGGATGGAAAAAATTTTGGAAATTGTGTGTATTGAAAGTTAAAATTGAGAAGCATTTTAAGGTACAGTAACTTTGCAATTCTGCAAAATACAAAAGTTGCTTGGACAGATAATGTTTTGCAGAATACAGCTTATTTTGTTTGGAAGGACATTTTTCACACCAACGTGCACTTCATGTAAGTTAGATAAGTTTAGATTTAAGTCAAATTGAAAGTAAACTTTGAAAAACACCTCAAGCATTCCTTTTCTATCAAATCCACACTTAGAAAGGGCTACGCAAGTCCATGTTACAACAAAACTTATGAAAAGATAATCATTCAGAAGAAAATATGGTTTTCACAGATCTAAACGCAGATATAGCCGAAAGATATGTTCCCAACATAGTTACTGGAACTCTTAAATGTGTGTGAAGAGTAAGACAAGAAAAACAATTCATCAACTGCTGTAGCATTCGACAATGGTTGTGAACAAATGTTGTGAAAATGTACTCTTTTTTATGACTGATGCTCCTCTCATACATGATTAAACAAGCACAGGATTTTTAATTTCTAAATCCATTAAAATCTCAAAATCGATTTTCTGCAGCATTACATAACTTCTCTACACTATGTATACATATACGTATATGAGAAAGGAAAAATCAATTTAGAATACATAATTTAATAGTACACCTACGCACACTTACATTTAGTCAATTCACCATCTAAGGTGGCAAAAAAGCCAAATCCATGCCAGCCCATTCACCCTTTTGGAGAATTGAATAAAACAATTCTTCAAAATATAATGCTTGCAATAACAGGTTTTTAAATTTTTCTCTATTGATTTTTATTTAATTGTAAATGAACCTCAATAATTTCAGAAAGACAGAATATTTATATTGTAAACATTTACAACACTTTAACGTTTCAGAGCTCTTTGTGGCTCCATCATCAGGTAAAATTACTGTAATACACAAAGATACATTAATTAACAATAAATAAAAAGTACAATTGGATATTTCGATTTTCGAACGTGATAAAGCTTAGAATAGAGTTAAATTGAATAAAAACAAAGAGCAGGCATAAACTCACCAATCATTGTTCCAAAAACAATCCAACACCTATTCACATACCACAATCGAAGGTGTATTTAAAAACTTTCACATTGTTGAAGTTAATGGTATCTCTCCGGTCGACAGTTAGGGAAGAACTGATAAAAATTGCCTTTTTTTTGTATTTGACAGGTGGAGGGAGAGGGGGAGATCCAGTAATGCTAACTGTTTAAGTCGTCACTCTGTCAGATGTAAAATATATTGTAAGTGTTGGTAAACATATTCAATTCATTTACATTCATTCTTATTGGTCTTTGTATAAAGTGTTTCTACGATTATTCTAGACACTATATGTTTCAACAGCCAAAATTTCAGGATTTTTAAAGTTAATATTATAATTGTTTTGAATTCTGAGTTGTGTTACTGAATTTTGCTCTTTGGAAATTTTCTTAATGTTCATTCTATGTTAATTAACCATTTCTTTTATCTTGCGTTTTATTTGCCCTATGTACTATTTTTTACAATCTTCACAGCTTATCTTATAGATTAAATTCTGTTGGCCTAAATTTGTTTATTTTGTCTTTCAGGTTATTGGTGATAGATATTCTATTTACGATTTTATTGCCTATATCTACACTATACTTTCTCTCAATCAGTTTAAAGTTCTTTGTTAATCATAGGTTCATAAGGCAAATATCTATTTCATTGTCATTAGAGAAAACCAGGGTGAATAAAAATCAGTACTTTTTTAAAAAAATAAAAATATTTATATTGGATGTTTTAAAATTTAAATCTAAATATTCGCATTGGGTAAAATTTTTATATTTCTGAAAAAAAGACAAAGAATTGAAGAGCTCTAGAATGGGGCTACCTCACATTGACCTAGTTCTGAGATACTAAGTGTTTTACTAGAACTCATAAAATAACCCAGAAACCATGTTCTGTAAAATCTTTCTCAAATACTTTTTTATACATATCAAGGCAACTTTCTGCAAATAATAATAATAATAATAAAAAAATATCTTATTAAATTTTTGGGGGTGTACAACAATTGTTCATTTTCACCTACATTAGTTATGCCCTTTAAATGCTCTCTCTTGCAAGAAAAATACTTCATTAGTCCAAATAAATTAGCATTTTGAGTATTACAATTATCCAATTCATAGAAATCACAAATCACAGCATCATTATCATCATTTGAAAATGACACAAATGTACACCATTCTCTTTTGCAAGAGTTAATGTCCACTTGCACTTTGGCTGACACAATACATTCTTCTCCACTATTCTTTGCCATCTTTCTAATATATTATTTTTAGTTTTCTGGATATATTTTTCTTATATTTAACTTTCAAATGTTTAATCATTCTTTGCAAAATTTACAATTAACTATATTTTTGATTTATTTCGATAATTTTTTTAGGTGAATCGTGTGATTTAAATCATTGAATCCTGGAGAAAAAACTGGCTGTCGTAGATTCCTATTTTTGAGAGAAGATTATCTAGACATTACATATCTTGAAATGAAATTCAGAGGATAATTGTTGTTTAATAAGTAGATAATTGCCTTTATATTTTTGGGATAAAACACTGTCATTTATTATTGTTATTATTATTATTTACTTATTTATTAATGGAGGCAGCAACAAGCTGTTGTACACATATCTTACAAAGGTGTAATAAAGTTATAAAATAAATCACTTTCGAAGAGTAACAATTTATATATATATATATATTGAGAGTATCCTTGAAGGCGTACAGTGTGCAGAAAGTGAATTCCACGTATTTACTCTCATTTGAATAGGATGTTTTGATAAATAATTTAGTAAGAGTCCTGCATAGGTTTGTAATACCAAACAGTAACTGATTGGTGACTAAAAGAGTATCTAACAGTAATAATTCTAAATAATCAATCGTCTATGTAAATTATTAAATAATCAACTGAAGACAATGCTGGATATGTAACAGAAAATAGTACAGACTTAAAAAAGAAGATTAAACAAATTAATCTCGAGTAAGGATAATAGAATAATATCTCTTGATGTCACTGCTAGGTTTCCATCAATTCCACATAAACTTATTTACAAATTGAAGAAACTTATGAAGAAATTTTTTTCGTTTAGGACAGGTTTACCTGAAGATTCCTAATTACAAACTTTTAAATGTAACTAAATTCATTTAAAAAAAAAATCTATTTGACATTCAATAAAAAAATATACCATCAAATAAACAGCGTGCTCATAGGAGGGTGTCTTAGTCGTGTTAGTTCAGAACCGGTGATGTGAGACCTTGAGTGTAATGTGCTACAAGGTTTTGACATAGAATTTTATATCATAACCTTGTTTTATATAAGTACTGTCTTTCTGAAATTGTTGAGGTACATATATAAGCCAACAATAATAATTGACTTTTTGGCTGTCCAGGTGACGCAGCATCGTTGGCTGAGAGGCCTGAACAGCCAACAGGCAAGAAGTACTAAACTCAAGCCGCGGAAGCTTACATGTATACAATGAATTTTCGAGAACATTGAATGGTTTCGGTGTTAGCATTAACCAAAGACGTTTTGATGTGAAACAATTTTTAGGGATAAAGGATCCACAATTTATCGACACTTGTCTTCACATGTTAAAGGAAATAATTGTCTTAATTCAGGAACAGGTTCTAGCTTTTTCGTACCTCAAAAACACTTCACTGCTACACTTTTATTTAATATCCAAAACTTTATTTCTTATAGAAACATAATTCACTAAAATCTGAATAGTTTTCATAAGAGGCAGCTCTCTGGCCAAACAAAACAATTCTCATTTTACGACAGTGCAAGAATTGGACTATTGGAGGATAGATCGCCCAACTACTGCATAAATATATTTTTGGATTTTTCCCCCCAATATTTGTTCACGATTTTAACTTATGTTATTTTTCCCGCATTTTTTCCCAATTCAAACATTTTTCTCTCTTGCTAGCCCCCACCCCCACCTCGAGTTCGGACTGATAGATAAGGAATATCAATGTTGGAGAAAATCTGCACGGTTTAGGCGCCAGCGTTGACCACGGACGGGCGTTTGGCTGTCGACTAATTTCTATGTATCAAGGAGCAACGAAACGTGGATTTTAACTACACAGCGTATTAGAAAAAAATTGTGGCGCTCTAACAACATATAGATTCTGACATTATTAGCAACATTTACAATTTTCGAAAATTCAGGAGCTCTGCAAAGCGGATCTGCGTCATTTTATAAGAGTATTTCCCAGTATCTGGAGGAGTGGGGATTGAAGAAACTAGAACAGCATGTACTTTCTAGGCTCACTAAAGGAAACGTAAAATTGCCCCTTTCTGTTTAAAAATTGTCCGCTTCAAGCAAAACTACTAAAACTGTACATGACCTCATTTTAAGTTGTCTTCAAAGAACTGATTTCATTAAGAAACTAGTGGGGCTCAACAGCACATACTTTCTCGCCCCTTTGTAACAGTTATGTAATAATATTATACCGCAATTTCTTTTCGCAACTTCTGAACAAAAACGAGCAATGCCCAAAAATCAGCTTTCTTACCGTTTCTTATTTACATACGTGGAATTTTTTTTTAAAATTTGAGCGGTTTTTGAGAAAAAAATATGTAAATTTTAATAGCAAAATAGGAAAAATCCATTCATTTTTTTTCAAAAACTCGTATATGACACTTTTTGAACAGCTAATTTTGTACCACAAACGTTGAGACAAAATTCTCTATCTTCAATTTTAGAGTTTTAATTATTTTTTTTTCTCAATTTTCGAAAAATCGGGAATGTCACCGAAAGTAAGGCCTGCTCTTGTACTATTTAACAACAAAATTTAATCAAAAGATTTGGTACCATTTTTTTTTTAATTTTGGAAATCATGTGAAATTCTACTAAAAATTAAAATATCAGTTACAAATTCCAGGGACCGCGGAATCAGCTAGAATAATAAGGGAAAATATCCTTTTTTAAAAAGGCCTTGTTTTTAAAATTGCTTATTTCACGCAAAATTATGCAAAAATACTACCTTTCCAAAATGATCACGGCCTTATATATTTAAAAAAAAAACTATCTTCAATATTGTAGTTGGAAGAAGCTGAAAAAATTTTCTACATTGGCATATTTTCGAAAATTAAATACTTAATTAAAAATCGCATCTACACGGATTTTACAATTTTTGATTTTTTTTTTTTTTTTTTGAAAATATCGATGTTTCGCGTAAAATACTCCCCGCACCCCGAAAAAAATATACGTTACAAATTCAAGGGGTCTTCACATCAGCCAGATGTACCAGGGAATATACATCTCGGTAAAATTTCTGCTTACGGTGAAGTCGCTAACGTTGTTCCTGGACGAACAAACGATTTGCCCCGCATATAAAGTTCGGAGATAATCGTCTGAGCGGTTTAAGCGCTGGCGTTGACCACAGACAATACGTTTAGACTACAATCGATTTTTAGGTATCAAAGTCCCACAAAACGGATTCTGACTACACAATGTTTTGGGGAAAAGTTATTTACTACCTACAGGAATAAAAAATATTCACTTTTGGTTACCGAGGATCCAGAAAATGATTTGTTCTGTCAAAAAGTCGCTGTAGCATTACAATAACTTCTTCCCATTACAATAGTAGTATGCGAAAAAATAATAATTTACAATATTTAGGAGAAAGAATTAGTCACTTCCGTATTATCAAGGCCCAACTATTCGAGGTTATATGCCGAAAAATCGCTGATTTCTCCGCAGCATTACAATACGGTCTATACTACGTAGTATGCGAGAAAGTAAAAATGTTTCAATCTGTGCAACCTATTTGAAGAGGTTGAGTAAGTCCGAATAAGACACAATATTATAAACTGAAAAATAGTTAACATGATTTAATCAAAATAATATATAACAATATAATTCATATCTACCTTTTTTTCATCACCTATTCAAGAATAAAGTGTATTATTTTGTAATGTGAATACAGTGCACAACACAATGGTATTTTTAAAATATATTTAATAAAGGGGATCTTTGCAATATTTTTTGTAATGCACACATGTTTTGCAAGTTTTTAGGTCATAAAAATCCGTGCCCTATTTGGTGTACTGAAGACTACAGAAGGAGATGGGATAAGACCATTTATTCAACTGTAGCAGAGGTAAGTACGTACGTACGTATTATGTGTATGTAATGTATCTAACCTCTCTCTTTGTAAGAGATCACACATACGCACACACACCAGAAAGAAATAGTTTCTAAATTAATAATATGCTTTAACATTCATGAAACAAAGGTGTATTATAGTGGACAATTTTTTAACACTAACGCAGCAGAAAGGAGTTGAGGTAAAAATCACTAACAAGATGAGATTATTCCTATCATAATATGATGACTCAAAATAGCTTAGTAATGAAGATAAAGACTTTGCAAAAAGCACGTTTTCAATTAAAATTTTCAAAAACTTTATAAACGTTTACCTGTTCTAAAAGTACCTTTATAATCGCTCCAATTTTCATGAAACTGAAACCTTTTCACCTTTCTACACAGCACATAAGTTTCATCAAATTTTATTCAAAGTTCAAGCATGCAGATAAATAGAGGAGAGATAGACAATTCTAACTTCCCCTAATAGCATTCAGTTCATGTATTCTATGCAAAGAATGCAAAATAATTTCAGCTTTAAACTGTTTCAGAACAAAACAGCTGAGATGTTTTTCTAAACAATTACTTGAACTATTACTCTTCTTGTACATCACAACAAACAAACTGATTCCTGAAAAAGTCAATGAAATACAATTCACAGTTTAAGAAAAGAATGTAGATGTAAGTGAAAGAAATAACATGAGTTCAAGTATTACACAAATGTGGTATCTAATTCAGTACTTCACTTCTCAGACTACCACAGAATATTTACTAGTGCATTGGCCACTTTGGTACAATTACATGGGTACAAAATGTATTGAGAATTTACTGCAATGTTTCACAAGTACAATCAACAAGAGTACAAAAAAATATTATATTCTGGCCCTACAGTGTCATTCCAAAGAAATGCTGTTCTTCACATAAGAATCAGTATGTTATTAAAAAAGAAATGAATAAAAACACCCAATAAAACTCATTAACAATCCTTAAATTTGAATAACACCTAAAAATCAATCTTAACATTTTTACAGGAAATGGGCAGCCTACCTTCCCGGTGACCTGCTCCTGGATCTGCGAGAACGTGATGATTTCGGTCTCTCTCTTTCTTTTTCTCGGCGATGTGGGCGCCGTGATCTATCACTCCGAGATGATTTTCGCCGTTTACGACTTGAAGGACTTGCACTCCGGCGGCTGGAATGAGACTGAGGAGGATGTCGTGTAACAGGAGATATACTGTGACCTGACCATTGACGACGCTCCCTTCTCGATGCAGAAGGCAGTTCATCATCGTCATCATCATCATCAATTGGAACTGGTTTAGACCTAAAGTAAATATAACAATTATTCATGTCTATGTTTTACGAGATATATTAATACTACCAATATAAAACAAGGCTAACAGCATGTTACATTATGATTCAGTGCTCCTTCACATACCTTGAGCCAATTCTCTCTCCAGGGCTGTGAGGTCGATGTACAGCAGGTGGAGGACTACGCACACTATCTATTATTCTTGGTGAGCAACTCCCTCGCAGACGATCAGTTTCTGCTAACCTCGATACCCCAAGTTTTTCATATGCTTTCGGTGGGAGAGGTGGTGTGTGAGGAGAAGCTACAGGAGAACTTCGGTGAAGGGTAGATCCTGTTGGAGGTGGAGTTCGAGACTGTATGGAACCACTGCCTTCTTGATCAGAGCGTTCAATATCCATATCACTTCCTCCTGGAGGGCTCACAGGTGTTCCAATAAAAGGTGGAGACTCAGGAGAAATAACATTATTTTTCTCCACTGGAGAGGCCGACTCTATGGTTTCCACTTCAGGAGAAGCAGGTCTATTCCATGCACGCACACAATCCAGATCTTCAACAGATCTTGCAGGACTACTGATTCTTCTTGTTACTTCTGGACTCCTAAGAATACCATCTTCAACAATTTCAGGACTCTGACTTCTGGAATGAACATACTTCTTTTTCTTCTTCTTCCTACTACTATTAGAATTTGGACTTCTACTCATCCTGTGTGTACTTCTTGACTTCCTTTCATTTTTCTCCCTTTTATGCTTCTTCTCTTTCCGACGACTTGAGCTTCCAGACCGATGCCTTCCTTCAGACATATGCATTTCTTCTTTAATTTTCCGATAAACTTCTAGAGGAGAAACAGGTCTAGGGACATGGTGTTTCTCTACTGATGAAGAACGTCCATGGTGGTGATGCCTCTTCTCACTCCCCTTCGATGTAACGGATGAAACTGATGTATGTCTCTCTCGATGTTTGCCTTTCAGTGTAACAGATGATGGAGATGGTGATCTCATAGCTAATGGGGGTGAGGACAAATGTCTTTGCCCTCCATGTCTATGTTCACTTCTTGATGGAGAGTGGTGATACTTTCTGTCTGTATGATGCCTACTACTACTACTACTATATGACTTTCCTCTTTCACTATCCCTACTATGTTTACGATGCCCATGATGATGTGCATGTCCAGGAGGAGTGCTAACTTCCCCTTCACTTAATGTAGCATGAACACTTTCATCACTTTGAATTTCACCTGCCTCTGGCCCTGACAAATCTTCCGAACTAACATCAGAATATTCAACAAGTGGCTTCACAACTGACGAAGCAAGAGAGTGAATTTGATTATTGTCTTGAGGCACTCCAGATAGAGCTTCTCTTGAGTGCCTTTTTCTCCGACTTTTTTTGCTTCCAGAACTACTAGTCAAATTCCTTCCACTTTTACTTCCCCCACTATGGCGACGAGAAAGTTTACTACTCCTAGATTCAGATACACTTTCCATATTGTTAGCCTCTAAGTCACTTCCCGATGCATCTGACCTAACATGCATGCTACTTGTCCTTTTGATGTGATCTCCAAGTCTCCCATTGCGTTCATCACGACTACTTGGCATGACACCTATTCAACAAGAAGGAATACGTAAGAAAAATAATCATCTCATTATAATTTGGATTAAAACAAAATGTGTGTTGACAACACACACATTACACAACTAAATACTCTAATAGCTTAAAGTTCTTAACTCTTATGACTATTATAACTATACTATTGATGTAACTACTACTTACACCCTGAGTTACAATTTTTTACTCAAAATAAAACAAAACAATTATTTCACTTTTATCACAATTCAAATAAAAAGTATTTAATTCATGCTCAAATTTACTTCCTCCAAACAACTTTTCTATAGTAATTAGTTGCAGTAATATATTAGTAATATATTAGGTTGGAGGGTGAACACCAATATGTATGAGTTGTTTTGTATAAATGTCTCTTTAAATTTTTTTTTATTTGCTAAATGTTCATATCAACATTTCCACCAAAATGAATTTTATTAACTGCCCATATTTGCAATTGGAAATACTAGATTCTTTTGTTCCATTCTCTCACTGTTTTTTAACATATCTTTTTTATCATATACAATTTTCTTCTGACAAAAAACAACCATCCAACCAATCACTTTCCTCATAGGTCATTGTGAAGGAAGTCACAAATCTTTGATAAAACATATTTACATCACAGTAAAATAATCCCATCTTACACAAATGTAATTGTTAAACTAATATATAATTCAGGCTCATTTCTGTGTGCACATGCATTTTATAAAGTATTAGGAAAAACAGATTACAAATGTTCACATATAATTCAAATGCAGACATCAACTTTACGAAATCGCAATCCTTTCAGTAAGTTAGTCCAGCTGAACACCACACTAATGTTAAATGTACAAAATTACACCACTCCAAGAAATTAAAACTTTTCCGCACCAAACAGACCTACGTCTGTGAATTAACTGAAAAATTCTTGGTAGTATAAGATCAATTGTCAATCACAAAATTTACGGCACAAACACAAGTCATTTACCAAAACAAGTAGCACCTATGTCATATACATAAAACAGCTCGTCACACACATAAATATGTCAATAAACACTTTGAGACAATCGACAAGTATATTTTCTTGCGCACATTAATATTGAAGACTTGTTAATACACTTTTTAACCAACGAAATTAACCTAACCTAACTTCCAACAAAATAATTCAAGTAATGTCAAGTAACTTGACTGAAAACTTACACAAAATTCAAACTGTTTCGATATAGTACCTTAGCACTATATTTAAGAGTATTAAGTAAAAAATAAACAATTATAACACCACAAGAAACTGTATCATCAACCGATGATCCGCCATCTTAGATCTACAACTTGCTCTACTCAGCAACTTCACAATGAAGCTATTCTATAAGCAATGCCTAACAACAAACAACATGAATAATCATTTGTGAACATGTAGTACTCACCAACACCGATGGGTACTTATATTCCACCACGAGCTGCGTGTGAAAATTGCCTCACGACGGCAATTGAACGTACGCTGCTCTTCATCCCCAATCCCCACTTTTCGTATCAAACAATTCTGTTTCGAACTTACGGAAACCGATTTCTTTATTAGTGTTCTCGTTTGTTAGGTATTTAGATTGATAATTTTAATATGTAATGGCTTCGATGCAAAACAATTTATTAGATTGTTGTGGATTTTTGAGCCAGAGCGACATCATCTTTACAGCAAATGCAGGACCCCCAGGATACTACAGTTCGCCCATTTCTTCTCCCTCAGGTGACGTCAACACCCATCGAGCAATCGTGAAGAGCACCACAACCAACTGAGGCAGTGTTAGTACGTACATGAAAATTCAATGCCGAAGCTGTTTTATAATGTTGTAAATGTAAGTTTATCTTTTGATTATGATGTACATTTCTTGGGGGCGTTTTGCAATTTTCAATCGTTTAATTCACAGAAAACTTAAATGCTGTAGACTTCTTCAGGAAAACAGAGTTGGCAACACACTACGTCACGGCGACCACAGAGATATCAGAATTTAACAGCATATAATGTTTACTCTATGGAATAAATAACGCCAGTGGCGACGTTTGCAGATGAGAGAAGTGCCGGTAGTGAGAACTACAATTTATCAATGAGAAGTTAATGATAGCGTCGACAGCAGCCGACAGAGTACAGCAGGAGCACAAATTGAAGCTGCCACAGAGTAAGCCAAACCAGCGCAACTAGAACGAAGCAGCAAGCAAGCCACAAACAGCTTCTGCACGGTTTGCTGTGTGTACTTTAGACTGTATGCGTTGAATGTTGTGTACATTTGCTTGGAAAATTTTTGAGAAGTGATAGTGAAGTGGTTTTGTTAAGGATATCATTAGTTTTCTAATTGTACGTGAATACATCACTGCTCGTTTAATTTTCAATATTCTGAGGAAGGAAACTGAAACTATCATTAGATGAACTGCGCTCCTTCGAACACTGAAATATCGCAGTGGTTGCAAGTGCCGCCTTTATACAACCTTGTTGCCTTAGTTGCAAACGTGTATTTATCAGTCACCAACTGGCATCAGCGAACGAAGTTACTGAACTTCAGTATTGAGTAATCACTCTTTCTGACGACTCATCTCGTGAGATCGAACTGAACGAAATTCACATTAAAGCCAGAAAAGATCCATAAGGCTTGTGGCGAAGGAAAATTAAAGACGGTGAATGTATTGTTCTTCTAATTATAAGAATTTTGAAGAGTAGAACACCAAGAAACATAACCTTCACGTGTTTCTTGCAACGCGCTGAATAGGTGTTGTGGACGTGGGTTGTGTGGAGAAGACATTAGAACAATATCAAGTATTATTTAAATTCTAAAAATGTCAATCAATACGATTGCCCTGACGTCAACAAATCAGCTTCTGTTTATTCTAGTTTCTTCCCTTGTGATTTGTGTAAACATCAATGCTGAATGGAATACCAAAGACTACATGAAACGAGAACATTCCTTAATTAAGCCATTTCAAGGTAAATTCTGTTTTCAACTTCAAAGATAAATTACATTGAACATTTGAAGACTAGCCAGAAGAGTAATAATATTTTTGCCATTTTAGATTTTGCTTAAATGTAATTAACTTGTAGTATCTTATCACAGGTTCTGGAATGACTATTCCTTACTGGGACTTCATGGGAAGTACAATAGTAACAAATAATTATGTGAGATTAACTCCTGACCTGCAAAGTAAGCAAGGGGCGCTATGGAATTCTGTGGTATGTTATTGTGTAATTAGCGAGTCATGGCAGCAATGCTGTTATAATTATATGCCTCTTTCAGTGCACTTCATGTACTGCCAAAGAAGCATTTGCATGCCTGATGATTTTTGTGATATTTTCTGAAGTTCCATTTTAACAATTAAACAATAATTTCAAGATATTTCTCTTTCAGTACATTTTAAGAGAAGAAATGTGCACAATGTGCAAATTATGTCATACATTGGTTTGTCTGATCTCTAATGCCATAGCAACCTCTTCCCTATTGATATTGTTCATTGATCTTGTCATGTATTTATTTGCATTTAATTGTGTGGTACCTGTCACGCCACATGCTGCACACTACATCTAAAGTTCGGTTTAGGAACTAAGTTGCTGAAATTGCCGGAAACTTTGAGATACAACACATTGTATCCATTTCCTAACATGGCTTCCTAAGAAAATTTGACAATTTTCTGCTGTGTACATGGATAACCATTATTTGCAATTATAAATGCTTAATCAGAATCGTTCAGCAGAATTTGTTGACATGGTTAAATTCTCTAAAGCCTGTTCCTATAAATACTATAGATTTTGCACTGATAAATAAATATTTTCATTAAAAAACACCAAAATATCACAAAATTTAGAGACCCCTTTAATTAACATAATGGGTAACTTCATTATCATTGTATTTCATATACTACTTTTCTTCACATTTTCTACTTTCTTTAAAATTCTTTTCTACTTTGCTTCATATTTTGATTTTTTTTGGCCCATAATAATAATAATGTAATCAAATTGCCTGCCTGAATATCATAGAAGAATAAACTCTTTTCTGATGAAATCTTGTAGAACATGGTGCTACTAGCATTATTTGTAGTTGTTATTGGACCAGTTGACAAAATTCTGTTTTTAAAATGGGCTTTATTTTACATGAAATTGCAACCAACAAAAAAAAAAAAAAAAAAAAACAGATATCTTCAGAAAATTGAACATGACCTTTCAAGTTTTAATTTTGAAGAATAGATACCATTAAGAACAACCTCACACCTTCAATATTGTAGTTGCAGGAACACACCAAAGAAAATTAAAATTGTATAAATTTCGAGGATTCAACGAAAAGTGAACCTGCGCCGAAAATTGGACTTAAGCCTCTAAATATACTTCGCTTGATTTGAGAACAGATTTGAAGCAATTTTCGAGAAAAAATTGTAATTGTTGGAGCTTTATTTAAAGTACCCCTAAACCATAATACCCGTTTCAAATTTCAGGGGTAGGTCAGCTAGATCGATCAGAGAATACAATTTTTTGTGAACATAATACCTACGGTTCAGCTGCCAGTGTTATTTGCAGACGTACGTTAGGCCGTAAATCAATTTTCAGTATCAAGGGCCCACAAAACGTCGATCTGACGACACAGCTAGTTAGAGGAAATATTGACAACTTTTAGGAACAAGATTTATTCTCGTTTTCGGTATCAAAATTCGAGCTTTTCTGTAGAAAAATCTTAGTTTTCGCCGCAACATTACAGTACTTGCTTCATACTTGTATGTTTAAGTAGTACTGTATATACACAGGGGCGGACCCAGAAACGAATTTGGGAGGGGGGAATTTGTTTGTGTACAAAAGTACAAATATAATATAAATTATAACCAAGGTATATTAGTCATTAGTGCTTATAACAAAATTAAAATATGAAGTTTAAAATTTAATTAATACTTTATAGTTTTAAATTAAAATCGTTGAGTTAGTGCTGCAAAACGACGAAGGATGAGGGTATTATATTTTTCATTCTATGATGCAGATGTCAAAAGGTAGAATTGAAATAACGCATGATATAGATTTACAAATTTAACATTCGCGTACATACAAACATTACTGCTCATGGCTGAGGAAGCCAACAGGATTTCACAAAAAGTTTCAATTCTCTTCTACTTTTTCTTTTTATTAGATTTCTTTCCCTTTTCGTCTTCTTGTTGGATAATTTCGTTCTCTTCTTACATACTTATTAACCGCGCTGTCTCCAGGCGCATGCAAGCGATCCATACCCTATTCTTTTGTTTCGGACACACTGTAATTGCGCGAAATGAAACAGCGGGCTACGATCACTCGCTTGGCACCTGGAGAGAGACCTTATTCCGTCAACACTGTTTCTGATTGCGTCGGCCACATTCCAATACGTGGAAGTCGCCGTAGCTCCGCTTGTCAAGTGAAGTAAGAAAGAGACATGAGCTGTCACACGCTTCTGGAGAACAGTCGAAGATACTTTCCGTACGTACCACTAGGCTAAAATTCAGCGAGAATCAGGATTCCCGTTTGAGGCTAAAAGGCTAAGGACAGAACGCGCGGTTATTTTTCTGATACATTTTAGAAGTTTCTACAATTTTTTCTTATTTTCATTTTTCCTGCACTTTTACCATTTTCATTTTTTTGTCTAGGCCTTTTGAGTGAGGGCACCCCCTCCCCCCGAATTTGTTTTGATTTAAAAACATATCAATTATTTCCTGTAGGGCATTTTAAAAACATTTTGACAGAATTTTGTGGGTTTTAGGTCCTCGCAATCCACCCCTTCATTATTGTATTCCCCAATCATATGGATATTATATAAATGCCCGAATGTGATCGGTTAATTAAGATAGCTTTTTACAACACCACCTAGATATACAGTATCTACGTGGTGTTGGTTTTTTTTATTCAGAATGTTTTGGTCGAATGTGTCTTATTGCATATTATGGAATGGCGCAGGCTAAACTCAGCTCTAGCTGCGATACGAATTTATTCGTTTAAATGATTATCCGAAAATATTTTTACGGAATAGAAGGTCATGTAACGGTGCGCGAAAAACTGCTCATCTTCAACAGAAAAAAACTTATTATAAGGCCCTGACCACGAAAAAGTGGATAAATCCAGTTGCTAAATTTAGAAACAAAATCATCTAACACGTGGTGTAGCCAGAATACGATTGTTGTAGGTCTTTGATACCGAAAAATCGAATGACGGCAAAACATCTCTGAACAACGCTAGCAGCTAAACCGTTCAGCCGATTTTCCCCAAAATTGATATTCATTAATGTATCTGGCTGATATCGCGGCCTCTGGAGTTTAAATTTGATATTTCAATATTTGGGGGGTACTTATGAAAAACCTGAGATTTTTCAAATTTGAGTTTTTGAAATTGATTTTTCAAATTTGAGTTTTTAAAAAAAATGGCTTAATTTTTTATTGTTTTTTAGATACTGTGAAAGACGTTTAAGAGTGGTGCAAGTCGCATGGTCGTTAAAAACCCTGAATTTTTGAAAATTGCTTAAGTTAAAAAGTTCTTTAGGAGTCTTCCTACAACCAAAATATTGAAGATGAAGATTTTTCCCTAAAAGAAAAAAATTAAAATAGTCATACAATTTTTCGAAACGTTTAGTACTTTTAACGTAATTTTGTGTTAAAATCGGTAGTTAATGAAAAAAAATTGGGGGGCGGTCCTTCATACCCCCCGTGGATCTGTGCCTGATATATTTATAAGTAGGTGGCGGATTTTGGTGACTTGAAAGATTGCCTAAAATGTTCTTAAAAGATTTTAATAATTACCTAAAAAGAAAGTTCAAAACCACTTCCGATGAACAATTCTGTTTGATATGTTTCTGATGAAATCGAGGTTTCTTCCTTTTGTTCGAATGAACTCAGCTCGCAAACTTTTGGTTTGGATTGTTCTTTAAAAGAAAATATATGCCTTTGTTTATCGCGAAATCGGCCGAACTGATAGTGGTGCCGAAAGGCGTTACAGGAACCTTAATTACAGTACAACGGCTGACATTACAATATATGAGCGAAGAAATCGAATATGCTACTCAGGAATTCTGTGAACATGTTGCACCTCGTAAATATTGTTTAAAACAAGTCGATTTCGAGTAATAAGAAGATTTTTTGCCGTAAAAGGACCAAAATGACTTATTACTCGAAATGGACGAAAAATATCAAAAAAATATACCTATAAAAATTTCATTTCCTTCTGATATAACATAAAATAAATGTCTATACTAAACAGCAATGTCCAAAAGTGAAAAGAAAAACATGATATTTCATTAAAATCCGTCCTCTAAATTATAAGTAGTGCTATGCGAAAACCTAAATAGTTGTGCTACAGCATGCACAGATTTTCTCGTTCTTGTTAATTTCTTATTTTCTGCGGCGCCTCCAAGATTACCAAAGCATCGCTCTGACTAGAAGAATTTTCTTAAGGATGGGATGATTTGACAGCTAGTGCTGGCAACACAACTGACGATTCTGTGACCGTTGTGTCCTTGAACTTAATAGACTCTCCTTCCTCCATTCGTTCGTTTGCAGTTGGTTAACTTGTAAATTGTCTAGACGCTCCCTGCTGTGATGTCCTCGTCTGACGAAAATATAGTGCGCCACGAGAAATAATTGAAATTAGGAAGTGCAGAGCTTTGGAACACTACGAAGGGGCGTAACTAAACAGCTGACGCGGCGGAGGGATACTTCTCTGAAGTACACGTGATGTTCACTTGTTTCGCGAACTGTCACTTTATCCCATCCTTAAGAAAATTCTTCTTATACTACGTTGCTCGTAATTTTGAATGAAAGTATGGGCGAGAACGTTCGTGCTGTTATAGCACCACTAGTTCATGTTTAGAACGGATACGAATAGTAATTCTGTTCAATATTTAAAAACAGAAATTTAGAAGCTCAATATCTCGATTCCATCACCCACCACTGCTCGAGACTTACGGAACTAACGACCGTAGTTGACGCGACCGAAAACATCATGAATCATTAAGCAGCTTTCGCGTAATTCTGCGTGAAAAATAGGCAATTTTAAACTTATTTTCTAAAAAATTTCTCCAGATGTCTACTTTAATGATTCCTCGTATGTTGCATAGAACGGTGAAGAAAGCTGTGCTGGTCCCATTTTCGGCAAACAAAATGTATTTTCGGAAACTGAAAAACTACAAGCTAATGATGTTTTTCTTAATATCTGTTCTAAACTAGAGGAGCTGAAAGCAC